AGAATAGACTCTCAGAACTAGAAATGACTATTTTACACTTTCCCATATTAAGCCAGAGAGGTGAAGTAGCTTGCTCAAGGTCACCCAGCAAATTAGGGTAGAGCCGGGACTCAAGCCAAGGTTTCCAAATTGCCAATCCTGTGTTCTTTGCACACCACCTCTGCTCCCAGCCACGTTTCTCCCAGACTCTAGTCCAATTTCATTGGCAGAAAGAAGCTGAGCTATGGACAGAGAAAAGGGAAGGGTGTGGCCAGGGTTAGCCAACAGGTCTGGAAATGGCTCTCACCAGTGTGTGACCTCCCAGTCCAGGGCTGTTTTCTGCCCTTCGGAATCATAGTTCCATTCAGCTTAAACATTTCATAGCCACCATGGCCTGAACACCCACTGCAGGTGCTTAGAGTTCCCCAGGCACTGGCTCACTGTGCCATTGCACCAACCCCAGGAGGTAGGTACTGCTTGTAACCCCATTTTATACATGAAGAAGCCGAGGTTGATAGAGGTGCCTAACTGACCTGTGAAAACCATTCAAAACCAGGCGCTCTGCACCCAAGCCCCAGCTCTGTGTCCCCACCAATACTGAGCTCAGCTCTGGGGCTGCACGCCATGTCCTCTGGGAGGCAGTAGTTTGAAAAGGCATATTCAGTACTTTCACTCTGTATCTTGACATTTTACCAAACCTATTGTTTTTATAACACAAAAGACAGACAGTGAGGCTGGCTAGGTGCTTCTCGGCTGGCAGGCTCTGCGGAAGGTGGAGTGGGTCTGCACCCTGACAGTGGGAAGGTCGGTGAGGGCGGCTTGTGCCCCACAGGGGCCGCTCAGACCCTCAGCAGGGCCCGGTGGGAGCAGCCATTTACGTCCATCAGAAAGGAAGAGGTTGCGAAACACCGGTCTCACGAGGACATGGGGCAGCACATAGAACGAGCTAACCACAGGAGCTTGCTAACGATGAGAACTGCCTGCAGGGCCAAGGCTGCCCCATGCTGCAAGTAGTTCCCATCAAGGCCTTGGGAGCAGATTCCAGCTCCAAAGGTCCTGCAGAGAGGATAGAGTTTTGTAAGCAGCAAGTCGGGTACTTAGAAATGGGTTCAAACCCTGCCTCCAGCATTCACTGCTTTTGGGGCTGGGGCCATGACAGGGCTTTTGGGGGTCCAGAAGGACAGAGGATGGGGTGCACTGGGAGGCAGCTCCTGCCCACTGGCTGACCGGCTCCTCTCTTCCACTTCCCAGCCGGCCCGACACAGCCTTCGTCTGGTTCCTCAACCCTCTCAAGTCCATCAAGTACCTCATCTGCACCCGGTACAAGTGGCTCATCATCAAGATTGTGCTGGCGCTGCTGGGGCTGCTCATGTTGGGCCTCTTCCTCTACAGCCTCCCTGGCTACATGGTCAAAAAGCTCCTTGGGGCATGAAGGCCGCCAGCTCCCGCTAGCCACTCCCTGGCCCTGCCACATTTCCTTGCAGTGGCTTGGACTCTTTCCCATCTCCCCTGGGCAGCCTGAGGAGCCCAGTGTCCACTCTTCATGCCTTGGGCCCAGAGCCTGCCTCCTGTTTGTGGGGCCGCCTGTCCTCACTGCCCCAGGCTGCGGCTTGCCCAGTCCTGCCCCTCTGACCCCTGCCTGTAGGCTGGGGAGCCTTGGATGGGGTGGGAACCTGGAATGGGTCTATCTTGCCCCATCTGGCTGAGGCACCACCCTTCTTCAGGCCCAGGCTCCAGAGGAAGCCTCCTGAAACCTTCCCCAGGTCTTCCAAGTACAGGATTGAAGCTTTAGTGAAATTAACCAAGGACCAGGGGTCAGTACCCAGAGCTTTGAAAAGAATGAACGAGCAAAAGGTATCCCCGCCGTGTCCCCTTCAGATAGCACTGGTCTTTGATCCGCAACAGGGGCCAGACCCTGTCCACAAGTCCCAGGGTGGCTGTGCTGTCACTGCTGGGCTCCACTTGGCTCCTCTCGCTTCCCATGGCGTTGCCTGTCCTGCCTGTGCATTTCCATAGCTTCCAGAGCTTCCTCTGCCCCAGCCAGTGCCCCCAAGCCCAGCTGAGGAGCTGTGAGGAGCAGCAGAGGGGACTCCCCATCCTGGGCACACCCTGCCCTCCCACCCCTGCCCCCCTTGCCCTTCCAGCCCTTTCAGCTGCAGCTGGGAGCTGGCCCATCAAGTGCTGCCCCTGCCTGTGTCTGGGTTTCTGTTGGCTGTTTTTCTTGAGTGGTGATTTTTCTCTAAATAAAAGAAGTCAAGCACTGAGCTGACAGGTCTGCACTGGTCAAGTCGAGAGGAGGAGCCGCAGGTGCGGGACAGAGGCAGCAGTTCTCTAGGCTGGTGGATTCCGCACCAGCAGGGCTCCCGTGGCCTTTCCCCTTCAAGTGGCCTCTGATGGCCCAGGGTTCAAAGCAGATCTCGGGCACAGGGCTGCCCACCCAGGCTGCCCACAGGAGGAGTCTTACACTATACCCCAAAGGTTACACCAGCCTGGGCCCAGGGGCCCCCAAAGCACCAAAAGAATCCTTCAGGTCTGGGGCCAGTCTGAAGACTGAAGACTCCACAAGGGCCCAAAAGCTCCAGCCGCCACCCATGGAAACCAGCTTCCCCTGAAAGCAAGAAAGGAGCCCCACGCCACTGGCCTCAGCCTCTGACTCACTCCACAATCTCAGCCTGGGGCAAAGTCCCCTCATGACACAGAGGTAGGGGCAAGGGCCTGGTCTTGCTAGACCTGCCCTCTTTAAAGAGATTCAGTCACAACTTTTAAAAGGCTTAATCATAGTGCAGGACACAGGTAACTCCTCTGGCTCCTTATTTCAATAGGATTCAGCCACAACTTTTAAAAGGCTTTAATCATAATGCAGGACACAGGTAACTCCTCTGGCTCCTTATTTCGACAGGCTATAAAGACAGCCCTGGAAAATCCAGAGAGCCGGCCCAGGTGCGTCCCAGTGGGTGATATGAGCTGGCTCCCGCATAGACACCAGCATCAGGCCAGCCCTAACACATCAGCCTTTGGAGTTCCAGCTCTATTTTGTGGGTACCCGCAACACCTGAGTGGGAGGAACTTGCAGTTCCGAGTTGATCTGGAAAAGGAAGGGTGAAGGTCATTAAATTTTCCCCAGGGCCCTCCTTCCTTTGCCACCCCTGCGAGCCACGCTGGCTCTCCCATGGGCCTCCGAAGCCCTGCATGCATCTCCTCTCCAAAGCTGAGAGACGCTGAGCACCCACAGGCTGCCTTCCTGCAGGAGACACGCCTGAGCCTTCTTGCTCAGCTTCTGCTCCAGCTGTGACCTCTGCTAGCGTTCTTCATCTCCCACCCATCCATTCTCTGCAATCTTCCCCTTTCCTCTCTCCATGCACCCATGCCATCCCCAGTCTAGCCTGCACCACCTCTTCCTCCCCAAGCCTCTTGTACACAGTAGCATCTGTGGAAGCAGGAACCATACTGTCCAGAATGTCTGGGTCCTGTCACAGGCCAAGGGTCATTATGAGGCCAAGGCTCACTACAACATCCCCCTTTCAGCTGTTGCCTGGGACCTGGGACTGTGCTGGGGCCACACAGCCCCTGTGGCTGGACTTGGAGCTGGCTTCAGTCACCTCACACGTGTGCAACTAACAGCTGTGTCATGACCTTCCTGGCCTACAGCCCCAGCCGCAGGCACCTCCACCACAGAGCAGGAAATGTTAGCAATGGAATTTTTCCTTCCTCCTCTTGCCAGGCCATGGGGAAGTTGCCCACAACTATTGTGGGGGTGGGCACAGATGGGGACCAGGGAATATCTGCCCCAGCAGAGCCTCCTCCCTCATGTGAGGACGACCCTCCAGTCACATCCCAGGCAGGGAACCCGGGCTGGCGGGTGGAAAGAGCCCAGGCTCTGGATGAGTTGCAAACTCTCCAAGTTGTGATTGTCCTTTCTGTGAAATGAGGAGCATCGTTTCCGCCCTGTCCACCTCACACAGCGGGTGTGAGGATGGAAGAAAGCACAGCTGGAGGCTCTGTAGCTGGGGAGCTGCTCCTGGCTGTGGCACTGCTTCACACAGAGTGGTCCCAGCAGGCCACTGGCACCAGAAACCACGGTATCAGACACTGTCACACCTGAGCTGTCCTGGAGGAGACTTCAGGCAAGATCTACTCCTTTAGCCAGTAATTGTCTCAAGGTGTCACTGTTGATTTTTTACATCACGTCGCAAAGCTCCCTTGCCTCTGGGCGGGAGGGGACTCCTCATTCCCTAATCCCAGCTCCAGTCCCCCCGCCCCACCCATCTCCTGCCACCCCTCGTTGGAAGGCCCGCTGCCCACCTTGGAGTTCAGATACTGCTGCAGCAGCGCCTGCAGCTCTGTGTTCCGCTGCTCCAGAGAACTGTTTTCCAGCAGCAGCTTGGCCCTCTGGGTCAAGACAATGCTTTGGACAAAAAAATCAGTTAGAGGCTCACTGAATCCTCCATCCTCTGCCAAGTAGGGGCCAGGGTCTTGGTGTTTCTGCTTTGGCTGCAGGTGGAGGGAGACTCCAGAAGCTACACGCTTCACCCAGCCGCCAGGTGAGCCAGGTTAGCAGGAACAGAACAGGCAGGCCAGGGCCCAAGAGCCAACCGCCCCACATGATCCACCGACACAGGAATTGCCAAGGGCAGCTCTTCCCTCCCAGGTTCGGTGGGACAGGGGGGCAGCAAACACGGCTGCTCCCAGCAACCGTTCCTCACCTGCCCACCAGCACCCTCCTGCTCCATGACATGCACACTTACTGGTACTTCTCCAAGGCTGTGTAGAGGGCATCCCAGAGGTTCTGCTTGGAGGAAGGGATTACCGTGGTCAGGGCCTGCCAGTACTCTGAGTCCTTGGAGTTGTTGCGCATATTCTTCTGCACTCTTGGCGGGGCCCGCGAGTCCCTGAAGGCCAACAACACTGTGACTGTCATGTCCATTGGGTACTACCCAGGCCCCCAAGCAGTGCCAGTCACAGGCCTACTGCTTTCCCACCTGTCACCTTCCCACTCAGCAGTCCAAGTTTATTAGATGGTGGCAGGTTCTCAGAAAGGACACAGTTTATTAGATGGTGGCAGGTTCTCAGAAAGGACACAGTTTATTAGATGGTGGCAGGTTCTCAGAAAGGACACATGCTTATCGTCAGCGTTCCTGCCTCGGTACCACCGGTACCTTCGTGAGGGCATGATCAGTGCTTCATCCACCCCTCTCTCTCCCAGTCAGTTTACCTCACTGCTTTACAGCTCATCGCTGTGCCCGTCTCTTGCACCAGCGCATCCAAAACAGTACTGGAATTCAGTCATGGCCTCTCCATCCTGCCATGACAGCCTTTATCTGGAGGATCCCCACCTCCCACCTGGACAAGCCTCCTGATGCTCTCCCTGTATCTGGCTTCGCCCCTTCCCTGCCGCCACAATGATCTCTCTAAAATACAAGGCTAATCATGGCTCTTCAGCTGCTTCAAATCCTTTTCTGGCTCCCACCACCAATGGGTAAAGACAAAGATCTTGGGCACATTGGGCAAGGCTCTCCAACACCTGGCTGGCTCCCCACCCACCAGTGCCACCTCCCAGGCCCTTGACCCACCAGCCACACCTCCTGTGATGATTCTTGAACAGACCTGACCTTCCCCATGCTGCCATTTCCTGAAATGCCCTTACCTCCATTTTATCTGCCTGGGAACACCCAGTTCCGGTGCCATTTCCTCCCAAAACCCTCTCTGACGTGCCAAATGGAAATGGCCATTTCCTCCTCTGAACAACGGTGCACCTTGAATGTGCTTTGACCATTGCTCTGATCACAAGGCAGTGTCCCCACAGTGCTTACACATGGCAGCCTTCAATGCATGTCTGCTGAATGAATGATGAGTGAAAAAAGCACAAATCACTACTACGCCCTATTGCTTTCCTGACTCTGTCCAGTGATTGGTTGCCCTAGCCTGCCTTCAGAGAGCCCTGTCCTTAGTCCTCGTATCTTGCCCAGCGCACTCTTCTCCACTCACTGACTCTGCCTGGCTCCCCAGCCCACCCAGCTCCCCTGGCTCTGGTCTCAGGCAAGCCTTCCAGCCCCGCAGCCCACCTAGGCTTTTTCAGACCCATGACAAAGGCCTCCAGAATCTTGAGGACATCATTGGGGTGGATGTCCCAGGGGGAGGGTGGGGTCTCCTCCTCTTCCTCCTTCTCCCCTTCCACCAGGCTTTCTTCCTTTGCTCCCTCCATCTCCGTCTGCTCTGCCAGCTCCAATTCTGACCCCATGCTTGTCTCCTCCATGCTCGCCTTCTCCATGCTCGCCTGACTGCAGGACTTGATCTGGAGAAAGATGCAAGGACAACTGTGGGCTGGGGACACACGAGCATGAGCATGGAGAGAGAGGCAGGGAGAAGAAAAACCAGAAAAGTTGACGGAAAGTGACAGAAAGCTTTCCCAGGGAGACATTTACACAGGGATAGAAACAGGAGAAAGCGTGGGGAGAAGGGGGATGGGATGGGGAGAGGCACTAGGAGGCTACGAGACAATGGAAAGGTTCTGTTTCTAAATCCGGTCTCCTAGGTGCTCATCTTATTGACATTCATAAAACTTACATGTTATAAATTTCCTTTTGAATCATAATGCAAATTAAATTTTTGTTTTAATTGTTAAATTTAAAAGGTCGTCCTCCTTCTCCTATCTTGCAGTTCATGCAATTGACCTCCCACAGGCAAATGAATACTAGCAAGTTGCCTATGGTTCCTTCCAAGGAAATAGTATCTCTATGTAATGTCTATATATAAATACATGTGCATACCTTTCCATATATACTTCTCCTTTTCGTTTTGACATCAATGATACTATACTACACATGGAGTTCTGTAGTTTGCTTTTTCACATACCAGTAAACCTTAGATATCTTTTCATGCGAATACAAAAAGAACTTTGGTTTTTCCCACAGCTTTATAGTACCCCATCATGTAGATGTACCACATATTATTAAATAGATTCCTCAACGATGGACATTTAGGTTGTTTTGAATCTTCTGCCATTTCAAACAATGCTACAGTGAATCAGCTACAATAAATACACCATTTCAACTGTACTGAGATATATCTAGAGAATAAAATCCTAGAAGAAGAATTTCAGAGGCCAAGATGGGCAGATCATTTGAGGTCAGGAGTTCGAGACCAGCCTGGCCAACATGGTGAAACCACATCTCCACTAAAAATACAAAAATTAGCCGGGCATGGTGGCAGGTGCCTGTAATCAATCCCAGCTACTGGGGAGGCTGAGGCAGGAGAATGGCTTGAACCTGGGAGATGGAGGTTGTAGTGAGCCAAGATCATGCTACTGCACTCCAGCTTGGGCAACAGAGCAAGACTGTGTCGCCAAAAAAAAGAAAAAAGAGAAGAAGAAGAATTTCAGAGCAAAGTGTATATAGTTTTGTAATTGATACTGCCAAACTGTCCTCAATGGAGGTTACAATTTATACTCCTACCAGTAACTTATGAGTGTACATGTTTTCTACACCTCAGTCATCACTATGTTATACTTGCTGTGTTATCAAGCTTTTTTTTTTTTTTTTTTTTTGCCAACATAACAGGTTGGCAAAATGGAATTCAGGCATTTTAATTTGCATTTCTCTTATTACACGGAAGGCTGATTATCTTTTCATATGTTTAAGAGTTACCTGTATTGCCTCTTCTAGGAGTTGTTCATTCATATTTGTTATCTGTTCCTTGAGTTCTTGGTCTTTTTCTTATTGATTTCTGAGAGCTCTTTATATATTAAGGAAATGAGGCCTTAACTATGATACAAGTTGAAAATATTTCTCTGCAACTTGTCATTCATCTCTTAACTTTGCTTATGATGATTTTTGCCCTACAGAATTGTTTTTAAATTCTGGCATCAAATATAGCTTTTATTCCCTTTATGGCTTTGGCTTTGTGGTTTTGTCCATTCTGCCAACTCTTTTTTTTTCTCTTTTTTTTTCTTAGAGACAGTGTCTCACACTGTCACCCAGGCTGAAGTGCAGTGGTGCAATCATAGCTCACTGCAGCCTGAACTTCATCATGGCTCACTGCAGCCTCAACCTCCTGGGCTAAATTGAGCCTCCCAAGTAGCTGGAACTATAGGCATGAGCCACTGCGCCTAGCCCAGCCAACTCTTTTTAGAGGCATGTTAGGATACTCAGCTTTGGGCTAGCAGTACTAAAAACATTTTTCATTCACATTTTTCTTTTTCTTTTTTTTTTTTTTTTTTTTTGAGATGGAGTCTCGCCCTGTTGCCCATGCCAGAGTGCAGTGGCACGATCTCAGCTCACTGCAATCTCCGCCTCCCGGGTTCATGCCATTCTCCTGCCTCAGTGTCCTGAGTAGCTGGGACTACAGGCGCCCGCCACCATGCCGTGCTAATTTTTTTGTACTTTTAGTAGAGACAGGGTTTCACCGTGTTAGCCAGGATGGTCTCGATCTCCTGCCCTCGTGATCTGCCCGCCTCAGCCTCCCAAAGTGCTGCGATTACAGGCTTGAGCCACCACGCCTGGCCCACATTTTTCATTTTTAAATTAAAACGTTATACAACTTTTAATATGGCAATTTCTTTAAAATAGTTAATATTTGATTCACCTTCTGAAATCAATTACAATCAATATATGTAGGACAAATGGGCCCTGCCTTGCGGGAAAGTGTTAAGGATCAAAATATTCAGAACCAGGTGGGCTCTGCTCTTACAGTGGCTGAGACCTGGTTGTGAGGGAGGGTGCAGGAAAAGATTCCTTGGGCCTCAGTGTAAGAACAGCATCTCACCCCCAAGCCATTCTTCCCTTTACAAAGAGACAAACTGATAAACAATAAGGAAAATGCTAAGTTAGCTATACCTGACATAAAAGCACTGCTGTGTCTCCAGAAGTACTACTCAAAGGCAGTACCATGCTCTGGGGGCTTTGGGAGAATTGAAAATGCAGGGACATGGGTGAAGCTGGAAACCATCATTCTCAGCAAACGACCACAAGATGAGAAAACCAAACACCGCATGTTCTCATTCATACGTGGGAGTTGAACAATGAGAACACATGGACACAGGGAGGGGAACATCACACACCGGGGCCTGTCAGTGGGTTGGGGGCTAGGGGAGGGATAACATTAGGAGAAATACCTAATGTAGGTGGTGGGTTGATGGGTGCAGCAAACCACTAGGGCATGTGTATACCTATGTAACAAACCTGCATGTTCTGCACATGTATCCCAGAACTTAAAGTATAATTAAATAAATAAATGAATAAATAAATAAAATGCTTTCTTCTCTTTGCACCTTGCCTTACCTGGAGACTGGAAGATAAACGGTGAGCTCGATATTTAAGGAAGAAGTTCACCAGTTTATACAAGTCATCTTCACTTTCAATTCCAAGGGCCTGGGGCAAAAAACAGGATGGTTGCTCAAACACCCCATCAAAGAGGCCACGGGCTTGGGCAGCTGATGGATGCTCAGCTCCTAAGAGCAGGAGGCTTGGCTTATGGAGGGCATTCATCCAACGCTGGGAAGCGACTGTGAACTTGGGGACACACACATCAGAACACACAGAAACAATGCTCATAGAGCCAGGAACTGCTCCATATGGAACCCTGGCTGTGAGGGTACCAAGTGGGGCTGCACCAGATCTGAGTTTGGGGGTGTCGGGGAGACCAGATCTGAGTTTGGGGGTGTCGGGGAGACCAGATCTGAGTTTGGGGGTGTCGGGGAGACCAGATCTGAGTTTGGGGGTGTCGGGGAGAACCTACAACCTGAGAGGAAGATGCTAGTAGAGGAAGGGGCAGGGGTGGGAGACACAGCAGCGAGTCTGAGGCCAATGTGTTGTGTGGAGAGCAGGTTAAGGGAAGGATGTGACAGGGAGCAGGGGAAGCCCCGGGAGACCCTCATCCACTGCCAGGGTTGAGGCAATGGCAGGGCCATCTGAGAACACAGCTGGCTTCAGCCCTGCCCGTGTCCTCCCAGCCCCGTGGGACTCACGGAGAAGATGGCGTCCAGCCTCAACAGATAGCATTCATTCTGCTCCAGGGGCAGGAGAAGGCTCAGCAGCTTGCTCTCTATGAGGAACCCCTGGGGAGAAGGAAGAAGGCATCTCCTGTCGGGGAAACGATTCAGGAGCGAGCCCCAGGGTCTGCAGCTGCCCCCTGTGTAACACTCCAGGGACCATGCCATGGAGCAGACACACAGGGATGGGAGCCAGCAGTGGGCCCCAGCAAAGCCTTCTCAGGGTGCCCATCAGCACCCCCCTCCCCAGGGAGCAAGGCCAGGGACAAGCAAGGCCAGGGACAAAGCCCATCCTCACCACAGACTTAGCTTTTCCCACCCAGAAGGGCACCAACCCACTTCACCCACAAGCCACTGGGCAAACTCCTGAGGCCCCCACCACAGTCCAAAGCTGACCCAGTCACAGGCTCCTGCTTCACTCATAGTCTTGTCCCCAAATATCTACAGAACACAGCAGCAGGCCAGGGAGGCACGGAGGGCAGTGGCCACCCCAAACCAAAACACGGCACACATGCGGTGGAGGGGAGAGGGCGGCTGAGCAGACACGGTGCCTGCTCTGAGCTGGGATGCCTGGGGGAGGGCTCCATGGGTCTCTGCATCCAGCTGCAGGTTGAGAGGGCAGAACCTGCCACCTGACCCCTTCAGCAGCAGCTGCCCTCAGTGGCAGGAGCCAGCCAAAGGCAACTGCCCCCACTATCCCAAAAGAACACCCACTTCAGAACCATAAGATCCAAACCAACACTGCCCATGTTTGATCAAAACCCGACTTCCAGCTGAACCAGCTCAATACAGCTTTTATTCTAAGTCTAACCATATTTGCTAACACACAATGCAAACATCCAAATCCTAACATACCCAGAGTAGCCCCCAACACGAGCGCCTGAGAAGGGCCATGTCAGTATGGCCACGTCACTTAGCAAGTTGGTTCATGGAGGTGAGCTGGTGCCACTTCTGTCTCAGAAGCAGCATCATTTTAAGCTGGCAGGAGCCCTCCAGCTGGCCTGAACTGTGCCATGCTGACCAACCAGGGTTAGACCCATTTTCCAGCTGGGCCAGCTCAGAGGCAAGCCCTCTGTGAACTGGCCCTGAAGTCCAGGGGCCACCCCAACTCTGCTCCTCAGGCCCCAACCCTGGGCTTGGCCAGGGAAGGACTGGCCCACTCCTGACTCCAGGCTAGCACTGGCCCGGCAGAGGCCTCGGAAGCTGCACACCCCCGCGAGTCCCTCTGCTGCAGCCCCCGCCTGGCCTCACCGACTCGTCACACAGGAGCATCAGGATCTTCTTGGTAGTTTTTTCAGAAATTTGCTTCGGCAGGTCCAGGTAGGACTCTGGTTCCGAGGCGGCCTCTTCTGCCTCCTCCTCTTCTGCAGACAGGTCAGGGGGAGGAGAGAGAGAAAGAAAAAGAAGAAGATTTCTGGACCTAGCTGACTCTGAGAAACAGTCAGATGGCTTTCTCTGAAAAAATGTACCTCTCAAAAAGCCTCTGTGAGGCATTCTCACAGTCTCTTTATGATGAAAAAAGCCTATTACGTAGGGGGAAGGAGGGCTGGGGGATCGGAATCAGAGACTACCTGGAGAACTCGGCCATTCCCAGCCAGCCTGTAATGCCCTACTTTTCCAAAATGCATCTGCCTGGAAACATCATCCTCAAAATCCAGCCATGAACCAGGGAGTGGGAGGGAGAGTGTGAGACCGTTTATTCTTATTTCAGAGATGATCTAGCAAGTGGTTCTATGGTTTCTAAACCTGCGACAGATTAGATAGAAGCAGCCAACTCAAAGCAGGGGTGGGTGGCTGTGCACATTCACAGATAAATTTTTTTTTTTTGAGACGGAGACTTGCTCTGTCACCCAGGCTGGAATGCAGTGGCGCAATCTCAGCTCACTGCAACCTCCGCCTCCCAGGTTCAAGCGATTCTCCTGCCTCAGCCTCCCGAGTAGCTGGGATTACAGATGCCTGCCGTGACACCAGCTAATTTTTATGTTTTTAGTAGAGACAGGGTTTCACCATGTTGGTCAGGCTGGTCTCGAACTCCTGACCTCATGATCCTCCCATCTTGGCCTCCCAAAGTGCTGGGATTACAGATGTGAGCCATTGTGCCCAGCCTATTTTTATTTTTTTAATTATTATTATTATTATTATTTTTGAGATAGAAGCTCACTCTGTTGTTCAACCTGGAGTGCAGTGGTGCAATCTTGGCTCACTACAAACTCCACCTCCTGGGTTCAAGCGATTCTCCTGCCTCAGCCTCCCGAGTAGCCGGGATTACAGGCGCACGCCATGACTGGCTAATTTTTTGTATTTTTAGTACAGATGGGGCTTTGCCATGTTGGCCAGGCTGGTCTCGAATTCCTGACCTCAGATGATCCGCCTGCCTTGGCCTCCCAAAGTGCTGGGATTACAGGGGTGAGAAATCCTATACTCTCGGCTCTGTCCACTGAAAAGGCCTAGAAACAACGGCCAATCCAAAACAATGAGCACCCAGCAGCCACAGTGTGGTTTCTAAATACCATTCCCTGGGCAGGCATGGTGGCTCATGCCTGTAATCCCAGCACTCTGGGAAGGAATCGCTTGAGCCTAGGAGTTTGAGACCAGCCTGGGCAACATGGCAAATCCCTGTCTCTACAAAAATTACAAAAATTAGCTGGCCATGGTGGCATGAGTCTTTGGTCCCAGCTACTCGGGAGGCAGAAGTGGGAGGATTGCTGAAGCCTGAGAGGCAGAGGTTGCGGTGAGCCAAGATCCCACCAATGCACTCCAGCCTGGGTGACAGAGTGAGACCATCTAAAAAAAAAAAAAAAAAAAAAAAAGTCCCTATTAAAAAGGACCAGGGGATCCTTGGAGAAATGACTGATTCCAGACTTGAGGCAGGTAAAGTATAATGTGTGCCTTGAACACCTGGTCATCCTGGAAAGCCAGGACGCTATTAAACAAAAAACTACTAGGGCTGGCCAAGCGCATTGGCTCACACTTATAATCCCAGCATTTTGGGAGGCTGAGGTGGGGAGATCAGGAGGTCAGGAGATGGAGACCATCCTGGTCAATATGGTGAAACCCCATCTCTACTGAAAATACACAAAATTAGCCAGGTGTGGCAGTGCACACCTGTAGTCCCAGCTACTCGGGAGGCTGAGGCAGGGGAATTGCTTGAACCCGGGAGGCAGAGGTCTCAGTGAGCCAAGACCGCGCCACTGACCTCCAGCCTGGCAACAGAGCAAGACTCTGTCTCAAAAATAAATAAATACATAAACAAATAAATAAATAAATAACTACTAGGGCTGAGTCAAAAGGACCTAGAAGCCAATGTGAAGATTTCCACTAGCCAAAGATGGAAGAATTTGAGCCTCAGTAAGGATAATTACTTTTGTAAACTAAAATACATCAAATTTGTTTAAATTCATGCATTCATAATATTTTTTAAAAACTCATTGGTACCTTTGGAAGATGCTAGAGGACCAACCCATTATTTTGAAAGTTGGTCAGCGAGAAAAAATAAGCGTCTATCCTGCTTTTCGTATACAGACTATCTCAGGGTAGCAAATTGCTGATGAAGGAAAAGTTTTCTTTTAATAAGTATTCTAACTGTTAAATAAAGACACAAGAATAGAATTTAACATATCACCATTTTGCAATTCCTAATACAGTTCATGGATCTTAGACAATGATTAGCAACAGTTGCTAACATCACAAAAAGAGAGACAATTTAACATTAGTTTATCCCGATGGAGGTACTACACAGTAGTGTACTTAGCAAAAATAAATTGGACCTGCACCTGATCAAGTTTCTAGACCTAACTGCCAGTTTATAATACAGGGGAGAGAGCAAAGCTATAAATTAGAGGAGACTTACAAGCTATATCCATAATCATACTCTACCACCTCCTAGCTATGGGATTTCTTCCCCCTCCTCCCTAGACTATCTCTAACATGACTGGCTTAACCCGATGTTCTCAGGGGGCTCCTCCAGCTCTAAGGTTCTACGACAACGTTCTAGTCACCTGTGTGCATGAGCATTTCTTCTACTATCTGTGTGGCGGACTTCTGGGGCTGCTGAGAAATAGGCCCAACATTCTTCAGGAACCAGAAATCAGGTGCTGTCCAGGGAAGCCCCAGATGATGGGTGTGGATGATCCTGTCCACATCAAAGGCTCTGGCTATTAGATCCTTTGCCTCCTCTTCATTCATCAGCCAAATCTCCCGAAACTTCTCATCATCAATAAGAGCAAAATGCCTGTGAAGGAGAGTCACAGAGCATGGCCAGCTGACCCCAGGGCCTGGCCAGGGTCCCCTCAATTGGCAGCAGGGAAAGAACATGAAAAGGAGCTGTGCTAATTCCTGGGCGTGGCCCCATCCCTGGGCAGCTGATTCCCACTTACAGTAAACTGGAAGCCATCCCAACACATCTCAAGAAAAGGCAGGTGATACGCAAGTGAAGGACCAGGGGAACACACCACAAAGGGTTAACTAATGCCTGGTCCAACTCCAAAATAGCTGGCCATATCAAGTCCAACGAAATCACAGCCTGTACAAACTCCATCCCCGCCACCTCTATGCTAGGACAAGTGCCTTAGGACCAAGTCCTTAAGATACCGCATGGCTTTCTGTAGCTCCTTGAATTGCAACACAAGACGTTTGTAGTCCAAGGTTAGAGACTGGTTCTCCTCCTGAAACTGCTTTATTTGCTTGGCATATTTTGATCTCAGATTGTTAAGTATATCATGCAGGCTGGTTGAAGGAAAAAAAAAAAAGTTAGTCTGCAGCTGAATAGAAGGTCGGACGTATGTTGCTCTCATCCACCTGATTCAGCTCTACAACAAACTCAGGAGCAGATTTGTGGAAGAGCAGAAAACCCTCCCATATATTCCAAAACACAGATCCCATTTTGATCAACAAAAGGAAGGCAACAGGAGGTCATGCGACAGTCCAAAACGAAATGCATTGAAAGCAATCCAGAGCCCATACCCACCAAGAGGCAGCCTCCTACTCAAGACTGAACAGAACCTTCTTCACAACACATCATTTGTCAGAATGCCCATACCCATACCTAGGGCCAGCCTCACATATTTAAATAATCTATCTCGGCCAGGTGCAGTGGTTCAAGCCTATAATCCCAGCACTTTGGGAGGCCAAGGCGGGCGAATCACGAGGTCAAGAGATCGAGACCGTCCTGGCTAACACAGTGAAAACCCATCTCTACTAAAAATAATAAAAAACAAAATTAGCCAGGTAGTGTGGTGGCAGGCACCTGTAGTCCCAGTTAGTCGGGAGGCTGAGGCAGGAGAACAGCGTGAACCCGGAAGACGGAGCTTGCAATGAGCTGAGATCGTGCCACTGCACTCCAGCCTGGGCGACAGAGCAAGACTCCGTCTCAAAAAAATAAAAAATAATAATAAATAAATAAATAATCTATCTCAACTATTTCATTGTCATGACTTAGATGTTTAATTCAATTATGAAGCAAGGAAAATTTAAAGAAAAAAATGCATATGATACATAAATCTTCCAGCCTCAAAGTGCTGATACCGTTAACAGGTCCAGTAACTCATTCATTCATTCATTCACTCATTCACTTATCATTAAACAAGCATGAAATGCCACTTTCGCGCAAGGATATGTTGAAAGACAAAGATGAATACAAAGATATGTTTCAATACTATCTTTGACAGGTACTATCAGTCTAGTCAAAAACAAAGACAAACGTTAATTACAGTACAGCATGGCAAGTGCTATAGGAGAGTTTTATGCAGGATGTCAGGGAAGCCCAGAGGTGAGGCATCTATCTTACCAAGGCTTGCAGGGGAGGGGATGGTCCAAAATTTCCAGAACAGCAAGAGGCAGTTAAAACCTGTCCAATAGCACTGTGAATCCAGGCATGGCACAGCTCACCATCTCACTGCTAACAGGAGCTCTGTGCATGGAAACTTGGCCCATAAAATATGCATGGCAGGCACAATTTTTAGACCCAGGTCCATACTTCAGACTTCAAACTGCTACAGAGGTGTCTCTTATCAGTGTCTCATTCACACAGTAACAGAGAAGTTGAAGGCCAACATATTTTAAGTTTAGAAATTCTAAAAATAAAATTTTCCATCTCCTAAGCATTATTCTGAAATGATCAAAATGCCTTTCAAATGCAAACATTCATCATTCATATTTTCATCGTCAAGAAAATGCAAAAAAAAGTAGTTACCTTAGTCTCTGATAGAAAGAAACAGCTAACCCATTTTCTTAACTAAAGCATTCAAGGAGGCTTTCCAAGCACAGAAGTAAAAACAAGTAGTCATTCCAAAGTGGTTTTTTTCCCAATGTCATGTGGTAAAGGAGTTCCTACGTGTCATCTAATTACAAAAGCTACCAAAACAAACTCCAGATGCATACTGAAGGTCCGGGCAAGATAGCAGGAGAGGAAGTCAACAGGGAAGAATGGTTGCAAGAGGAGGTTCAACAAAAAGTCCAGAGTCCTTAGTGCCTGGAAGCTAGAGATGCAGAGGAGTAAAGCTGGAGAACTGGAAACAGGGAGCAAAGGCAAGTCTGGTTTCAGAAACTGTGCCCTGGAAATGACAGGGCCTCTCCAAGCTGAACTGTTACCTTGGCAGTTCCAAGTAAATGAAAGGTGAGCTCAGGATTGGGGATATGAAGTTGGTAGTCATCAACAAAAAGGGGATATTCAAAACCATGAGATTGAGGTGTGTGGCAGATGAAATAAAAATTAAAAGCAATGGTAAGGCCTGGGTCTTCTAGATTACCTTATCTAGATACTCAAGACATATCAAGCAAGGAAAAGCAGAACCACCAAAGGAAACAAATAAATTAAGAAAGAAGGGCAAATATTTTAGGGTCACTTAAACCGAAGAAGAAAACCCAGTATCCAATCATAATAGGATGAGGCCTGAGGAGAAGTCACTACGTTTGGCTAGAAGGGCATCATTGGTATCCTACTTTGGGAAGTTTTTGTACAATCCTGGGGTCATAGGTTGCTATGGCTTGAATGTAACTCCTCCAAAATTCAGTGTTGTCAATGTGATAATATTAAGAGGTGGGGCCTTTAAGAGGTAATGAGGCCATGAGGGCTCCCCCGTCATGAATGGGATTATGGGATTAAGGCCCTTATAAAACAGGCCTCCCAAAGCCTTAGGCCAGCTTGCTCTCCCATTCTTCTGCTGAGTGAGGACACAGCGTCCCTCCCCTCTGAAAGATACAGCCCTCACTAGAAACTGAACCTGCCAGCCTTGATCTTGGCCTTCCCAGGCTCCAGAACTGTGAGAAATAAACTCGCCTTTGTAAATTATCCAGTCTCAGGTAGTCTGTTATAGCAGCACAAACAGATATGTCAAATTATGAAATGTTGGGTGGTGATGAGGAGGAAAGGAAAATGGCAATGAAAGCAAGAAATGAAAAGATGGTGCTTAGAAATGGCAGGGTCCGTTGAAGGGTTTTTCAGGCTGAGGGAAAGATGTCTGAGTTTGAAATAAGAGGGAAGATTCCACTCATCTCTCAGCCACACGCATCAAACCCAAGCTCTGCCTCAAGCGCCTCCTCCCGCCTCCCACCTTACCCGTTCTCTACACCCACTGTGGGACTTTCTGAATCCTACCTCCTTGCCTTCAGACCAGCCATTCCCAGCTGCCAGCACTGTCCACCTGGAGTCTCCTGTTAACTGCCTTTTGCCAGTTCATGTCCCCACCCCCTCCAGTATTTCACTTCTTTGGGAAGTTTTCCCAGGTGCCTCCTCACTGTATTGATGTGTGTCTTTCTTGGATGTTCCCCTATCTAGTATGGGGCTTATATAGTGGGAATTTTTTCATAAATATTGTCCCCTGACTATTCTTATTTCTCAGATAATCAGGCTTAAGATGCCATCCCATTTATTCAGTATCATTTTCTGTGATAAGTAACTACCAAAATGTCAACTGATGTTCGTCTATACATTCAACATGTGTCCAAAATGTATGTATTACCAACCCACAAGTGGAAGAATTCATAAATAATAATAGGCTATTTGGGGTTTGGAGGGAAATCCTCAATCTTGTTTCCTTCTACAAGCAAGAAATCTTATTCCACTCTGGTCCTCAGAGCCTAACACAGTGGTCTGAAACTTAGAATGCAATTCCTAAAGGAAGAAAGGCAGGAAGGATGGGACTAAGGAGACAAGGAAGAAGGGAAGATGTGTGAGAAATTTCAAGCAATAGGTACCTTTCAATGAGCCATGGTATCTCCACAAAAGCAAACTGGCACATGTCATGAGTACTTAGGTTGGTATTATTTGCAAGGGAAAAAGGCTGGAAGCAATCTACATGTCCATCATTAGACACTGGTCAAATAAATCATAGTGTATCTATACAGTGGGTCGTAGCAGCTTAACAAACGGTAAAAGCTCTCTATGAACTGGGATGGAAAGGTCTTCAAGATACACGGCAGTGTGTACAGACTGCCATCATTTGCGTAAAAGCAGATGGGGGATGAGAATATTTGTGTGGGCTTGTATATGCCTAATGAAATTCTGGAAGAGACAAACTGGTTATAGAGGTGGGAAAGAGGAACAAGATGAATGGGGATGGAAAATCTTTTGCTATGTTCTCTTTTCTTGGGGAGAGAAGGGGAACCACTTGAATGTATTAACTTCTCCAAAAAACTATTTTAATAAGTGTTGGTTATATTTTTAATGGTTTCTACCCCTTCAATAGAAAAAAGTACATATCCATCCCTATTCTCAGCACAGAGAGCCCAGAAGAAAGACGCTCTGCATGCTAGCTTACCGATTGATCTTCCTCTTCTGCTGGGATTTAATCACTGTGCTTTCTTCATCTCTCTTCTTCAGCACCTGCAAGTTGTACTCTAATTTCTCTTGGTTTAGTTGATAAATTGCTTTCCTCTGCTGAAGCTGCTGCTCAAGAATCTAAAATTTTAAAAAAACTATATATATATATCTATGTATATGTGTATATATACACACACACACACACTAACTCTACACCTGCATCCTTAGTATTATATACACTAGCGTATTTAAAATGTCTTTTGGGGAACATGCTTTGTATAGGTAAATATTTACATAGATATACTTACATAGTCCTGCTTATGTATGTTTATTTACCTAACTATGCATCTCCATATTCAGATGTATTTATCTTTGTACCTACATTCATAAAGAATAAAGAGGTAAAAGTATTGGTAGAAGTTTATACTGGAAGTATACAAAAATAAACTTTCCTACATTTATAAGCTTATCTGCCCTGTGAATTATACCTAAAATTGTACACAAATAAAGGTATGCTCTGAAATACAAATATATATATATTTTCACACACTAGTTGGCCCTAGCTTGTAGGCTTCTGATAAATTGTTCAAGTCATGTCAGAGGAACCTTAGGGACAAGTGCCTCAGCCTGCATTCTTAGAAAATCTATCATGAGAGTCAAGTTAAAGGTCAACCAGATAAAATACAAGTCAATGAACTGTAAACTAAAATCTGTATACCTAACGCCTAAGAAAGATCACAGAGCTTTCAAGTCCAACTAACTCCGGTAACTTTCTCCAGACCCTTCAGAAATATGACTAGCCCCGCTAAAAACACCATAGAAATAAATACGGCCACAAAAACTTGAAATTTCCCCCACTTTGACCTTCCAGGGTGGAAGTGTTAGTGTTTAGCAACCCAGGTTCATTTAAAAGGACAGACACAGTCATCCTTACTTTTTGGATTTCCATTAGCTGTATTCATTCATTCAGCAAATACTTATTGTGTGCCTAATCTGTGTGAGATACTTTTCGAGGTGCCGTTGCGAAAACACCAGTGAGAAAGGCATAGTCCTGACCCGTCTAGAACAGAGGCAGATAAACAAACGCTAGGGATAAGAGGCAAGATAGAGGGAAGCCCAGACCATTATGGGACCAATGACAAGAGCACTGTCCTTGGTCTTGAGGGACCAGGGAAATCATCCCTGGAAGATGGTGTGTCTAGCTGAGACCTAGAGAATGTGCTGGAGTTACACAGGTGACACCGGAAGGGAGAGCACTCTAGAGAGAGGAAATAGCATATATGAGGCTTTGGGAAAACCACAAGAAGTTTAGGATGTGAGGCACGAGGCAAGGAATGGTCAGAAATGAGGCTGACAGAGCAGCAGAGCCTTCCCAAGCTAGGAATTTAAAGCATTATCCTGAAGTCAAGGGAGGACCACTAAAAATGTTAAGCAGGGAAGGAAAATGGTTGGTCCAGTCACTGTAGAAAGATCACCCTGACAGGTTGTGAAAAAAAGATCAGAGAGAGGCAAGGCTGGAGGCTGGCATGCTCCTGCCTCTCCCGAGTGAAATGCAGGAATGGGGAAGGCAATCAAGTGGAATCAGAAACTCGATAAAACTGCCACGTGCGTGCTGTCTCCAGCCTCTGTCCCGTCTCCCTCTGTTAGGCTACAGACTCTGGCCCAGGAGTCAACAGAGGAAGTGATTCCAAGCAGCTATCACAGCCCACTCTGGGTCATACTCCAGGAGGGCTCCTGGCTAGGAGGTGACGCTCCATTGGGTCAGGAAGCACATCATTTCCATGGTTGCTGTGGAATCCGGTGATTCCCACACACATTGTCATGGGGGAATTAGTCAAGAATATTCTACATCACCACCGCAGGGATTTTTAAATCTCCATTATGAGATGAGTATTTGAATGTCTCCTTCAGAACAGAAGCCTGTAATATCTTTTAACAGATGGTGAATGAAGAACCATATGAGTCCCTGAGATCATAACTAATCCTACCTCTCAATTTCTCTACTTACTTATTTTTTATTTACCCTTTCTAGTTATACATTTTTCTTTGTAAAAACTCTTCCTGAGTGCAAAAGCAATATTTGCTCATTGTAGAAAATTTGGAAAGTACAGCAAATGAAAAAGAAGACATAGGAGAAAGAAGTTGCAAGGCTACCCAAAATTCCACCCCCAAAGGCAACTTCTGTTAATGCTGGCATGTTTCCCCCCAGTGTCCTTTACATAGTTGGAATCAAACTATGTCTACAATTTTATATCCTAATTTCCTCCCTTAATATCACAACAACAATTTTTCAGGTTAGCAAAGTTTTATTAACATCATTTTAATAGTACAGAATCCTTTTTTTTTTTTTTTTTTTTTTTGAGGTAGAGTCTCGCTCACCCAGGCTGGAGTACAGTGGCATGATCTCGGCTCACTGCAACCTCCACTTTCCACGTTCAAATGATTCTCCTGCCTCAGCCTCCCAAGTAGCTGGAATTACAGGCATGTGCCACCACCACGCCCGGCTAATTTTTGTATTTTTAGTAGAGATGGGGTTTCACCATGTTGGCCAGGCTTGTCTCAAACTCCCGACCTCAGGTGATCCGCCTGCCTCGACTTCCCAAAGCGCTGGGATTACAGGCTAGAATACTTTTATATACTATGCTGTTTTATCATATATGAAATATTTAATATGTTTACCATGTCATAATAATTTACCATTTCTCTACAGTTGTGTGTGTGTGTGTATATATAGTTATATATACTTTTTAATAATTTTCTTTACTATAAAATAATGCTGGGACAAATTATATATACAATTCTTGGGGTAATTTGTTTCCTTATGGTAGATTCGTAGAAGTGAAATGACTAAGTCAAAAGTTCTCAATAAGTTGCTTTCCAAAGAGCAATCTATGGTTTATGCTCCCACTGGCCATGGGTGCAAGTGCTCACCTCACCCCATTCTGTCAGCACTGAGCATCGTGCCAGGCAGACCCTGCGGCTCCAAGTGCAGGCCTGGCCCTTGGGTAGGGAACTTGGGGCAGGGCAGGGAGCTGCCAGAAGCTTCAACTACAACTACAAAGGACCCTTTCTGAGCCTATTTAAAATTTAATTTTGAAATGTCTGACTTGCACAGTATCCCCAAGGACCTATGGATGATGCCAACAGCACAGCCTCATTTCAATGGCAGTTATCCGGGTGGTCCCAGGCTGAGTTGCTTTGGGCCCTGTCCCCTTCTAGGGATGGCCCTGAGTGTCTCCTGGGAAAGGGATTCTCAGCAGCTCTTCTTGCAAAGGTGCAATGATTTATGCCTCTACTCCTCAAATGAAACCAGCTCTGCCACTTCAAATGTTACCAGCCATGGTCATCGTGAGTGAGTCAGGAATCAGAACACAAACCAGACACAGGTAAACTGAACATAAAGGAGGCCATTGGTCTATGAGGCAGCTCAGCACAAAAGTCCAATAGAAAAGCTCCACATGGGATGTAACCATCTGAGAACAGATGAGCACTCACAGAGAAGGAGGGTCTTCGGAACTGCTCTCCACTTGGGATGATGAGGAATGGCTGTTCTGTCTTCCCAGGAACGGACCCATGTAGAGGCCCTGAGACCTAGAGTGCCTGAATGTCTGCTCCAATGATTTCCAGGGAGCCCTCCTTCTTCTCGTGGCGTTGCAACAGTCCCCTCTCTCTAAGACAGCATTTCCCAGACTTATTTGGCCAGAGGATTGTTTTTATATTTACAATACAACAAGAGCATGTGAACTATAAATGCAAAAGCTCTATCACATGCACGCTCATGTGAATTTCATTCTTAAAGGAAGGTTATTACATAATAATATGTATACGGATGGCTGGGCATGGTGGCTCATGCCTGTAATCCCAGCACTTTGGGAGACCAAGGAGGGAGGATTGCTTGAGGCCAGGAATTCGAGACCAGCCTGGGCAACAAAGTGAGAACTCATCTCCACACGCACACAAAATTTTAATTAGCCAGGCAAGGTGGCATGTGCCTGTAGTCCCAGCTATTCGGGAGACTGAGGAGGGAGTCTGCTTGAGCCTGCTGGGAAGTCGAGGCTGCAGTGAGCTGAGATCATGCCACTGCACTCCAGTCTGAGCAACAGAGGAAGACCCCGTCTCCAAAAAAAAAAAAAAAAAAAGAAAAAGGGAAAAAAGTGGGGGGAGTGGGTGGGCAAAGAACATGAACAACACTTTTCAAAAGAAGGCATACACGCAGCCAACAAGCATATGACAAAATGCTCAACATCGCTAATCATTAGAGAAATGCAAATCAAAACCACAATGATATACCATCTCACACCAGTCAGAATGGCTATTATTAAAAAGTAAAAAAAAAAAAAAAAAAAAAAAAAACCCAGGAGATGCTGGTGAGGTTGCAGAGAAAAAGTAACACTTATACACAGCTGGAGGGAATGTAAATTAGTTCAGGTATTGTAGAAAGCAGTGTGGCAATTCCTCAAAGAACCTAAAACAAAGCTACCATTTGACCCAGCAATCCCATTATTGGATATATACCTAAAGGAGTATAAATGATTCTACCAAAAAGACACATGCATGCATACGTTCATTGCAGCCTGTTCACAATAGCAAAGACATGGAATCAACCTAGATGCCCATCAGCGGTAGACCGGGTTTTTAAAATGTGGTACATATACACCATGGAATATTATGCAGCCATAAAAAAAGAACAAGATCATATGGTTTGACATAAAGGTTTAAAAAAAAAAAAGAACAAGAATATGTCCTTTGCAGCAAGATAACTGGAACTGGAGGCCATTATCCTAAGCAAACTAACATAGGAACAGAAAACCAAATACCACATGTTCTCACTATAAGTGGGACAAACGAGAACACATGGACACAAAGAGGGGAACAGTAGACACTGGGGCCTACTAGAGGGTGGAGGTTGGGAGCAGGGAGAGGATCAAAAAACTACCTAGCGAGTACTATGCTTATTACCGGGTAATGAAATAATTTGTACAGCAAACCCCTGTGACATGCAGTTTACCCATATAACAAACCTGCACATGTACCCTGAACCTAAAATAAAAGTTAAAAATACCTGTAATTGATTTTGCTAAAGGTCTGTGCTTATTATTCAATTATCCAAAGATATTTTGCAAAGTTGCAGTTCATGTTCCCAAGACTAATGGCAAAACATGATGTTTGTGTTTTATGAGTCATCTATAAAGATTACAATCTAATCTGCCACAAAAGTCTTTGTATGGTAAAGGTAGCATAAGTTTTGATAGCACCTTCCCCGCTTTGTCCTGGAGCAGCACAAGCTTCTCCACAGCTGATTTTGGGGGTCATCTCTTGCCCACGGGCTCAGGAAAAGAGGCTGCCACCAATGTGCCAGCAGGATGGAAATTTAAAACAGCCTTTCCCTCTGGCCTTCTCTGCTGACTCCAGAGACTCCACTGGGCCTATTTACCCCAATCTTGACCCTAAGCTGGGCCTGCAGGATCCCATGTTGGAACCCGAAGACTGGCAATGTCATCTCAGGCCACACTCTTGCTCCCCCTTTCTGCCCCATCTCCTTCTCTTTGACACTATTTGTGTAGCTTGTTTTCTGTTTTTTTTTGTTGTTGTTGTTTTGTTGCTTTGTTTTGTTCTGTTTTGAGATGGAGTCTCGCTCTGTGGCCCAGGCTGGAGTGCAGTGGTGCAATCTTGGCTCACTGTGAGCTCCGCCTCCTGGGTTCATGCCATTCTCCTGCCTCAGCGCCCGAGTAGCTCAGACTACAGGCATGTGCCATCACGTCCAGCTAATTTTTTGTATTTTTAGTAGAGAGAGGGTTTCACCATGTTAGCCAGGATGATCCTGATCTCCTGATCTCATGATCCACCTACCTCAGCCTCCCAAAGTGCTGGGATTACAGGCATGAGCCACCGTGCCGGGCCGTAGCTTGCTTTCTTCCTTAATAGATTATAAGTTCCTTGAGGGCAGGGGCTGTACTTTGCTAATCTCTGTGCTTTGCACAATGTAAATTAATATAGTGTAAATAAATAACATATTTAATTTGGGGGGATTAATATTCTAGTATTAAAGGTAGCAGCCTCTAAATTTGAGCTGAACATCTTACAATTCTAAATGAGTGTATAAGGCCTACAGATAAAAACATTTGTTTCCTGCATCAAGAATTAAATGTTTCTAGCAGTTTTCTTTTAGGGTGGTGGGCAGGGGTAGGGAGTTTCCACCTAAGCACACAATGTTTACAGGCTTCTCTTTGCTCTCCTATTAATAACATGACCTTTACTGGCAGTAAGCACATGAACAGTAAGACTTCTTTTTACTTCTTGTACTTCACCCATCATCCAAGTCTATGTGTACTGTATCCTTCCCATTTTTGTGGTTTGCAAGAATTTTAGTTCCATATTTTAGAATTGATAGAGTGCTATGCATTAGTTGGAAAGAGCAAATTTAACATTGAACTGCATGTTACATCTTCTTAAAAAAATCAGTGCCATTTGGCTTGAATGTCTAGTGAAAGTACACTTAAGAGTCACTATGATAAAGTTCAACCTACCAAAACATTCCACATGTTGCCATATGGGTAGTCCCTGATTTGATGATTTTTCCCCCCAGTTACAGTGTGGAAAGTGGTGTAGGTAGCCTCGGTTTCCATCTGACACAGGAAAGAACTATGATGCAAAGGCACCGTGCCCCTTTCTGCCTGAAATGTCTCCATCTGCGCACATGCCACCGTCAGTCAACCTGGACAGGGACAGCCAGCAGAGCCAGGTCTCCCGGTCTCCCTGCCTCCCTGCCCCCTACTTCTCTGATCTTACTCTACCTCCTACACCCACCTCAGGATCTCCCCATGTCCTAGAATTTTTTGCTTCATTGAAGTATTTGGACATTGGATTAAGAACATGAAACTCCAGATATCTCACTGAGGCTAGCAGTACGTAGTTTTGTCACATAAATTATCACAGAACCAAGATAAATTCAGAAAGTTTAACAATAGCCATTTTCAGTAAAATTATATCAATGTACAGCCCACAGAAAGAGTGCCATTGTATTACAGACTTGTAGTATTCTGTCAGTAACTCTCATATCTGTGACATTAATATGAGAAGGACCTGGGAAAATTCTCAAGACTAGTAAATATATTTGTAACCTAATGGGGTTTTTGATTTAACTTCATGATATCAAGTGATAGGAAAAGAACTGAAACTCTAACAAAAGCTATGTGGAAAAGCTTTCATCTAACACCTTTTTCTACATAGAGACTGAAATGAATAGACCATACTTGAATATTAAGATGCAATTACATTACATGTACATGTAATTAGAGATACATTTTTTTAACTGGTATTGAAACAGCCTAGGGGCTTGGAAAAAACTTTAGAAACCAGAAATAACCTCCTACTACTGCAGGAATCCTTCTTCAACACCAAAGACAGACACAGTCATTCAGCCATTGCATATTTTGAGATAAAGCCATCTTTGTTTTGTGGAACGCCCTTCTGAATATTGGACAGTTCTAACTCTTAGAAGCTTCTTTCTGATAGTCAGAATTTGCCTCACTGAAATTTCCAACCATCAGTCAAGGGACTGTTCAAAATAAGGGAAGAATATAGGCTTTTCTTTTGAGCCAGACAGAACTGGATTTGAATCCAGGGTTTATTGTGTACTAGATATACAGCTTTGTCTCTAAGCTTCAGATTTCTGATGTATAAAATGCTGTTGGTGATGAAGATTAGAGTTCATTTAAGTATCTGGAATATGGGAGAGACTCACTTGATGGCTGCCATTATTAGCAGTAGCTGTCCTAGCTTTGGCTCTTGGACATAACCAACTTGCCCTAGGGACATTTTTCCTTTGCTAGAAGAAAATGGCTTCCAGACCTCTGTAGTGTCTTGGCAGTTTTTCTTTCTTTCTCTTCCTTTCTTTTCTTTTTTCTTTTCTTTTTTTCTTTTCTTTTCTCCTTCCTTCCTTCCCTCCCTCTCCTCTTTCTTTCTTTTTCTTTCTTTCTTTTTCCTTTCTTTCTTTTCCTTTCTTTCTTTTCCTTTCTTTCTTTTTCTCTCTTACTTTCTCTCTCCCTTTCTCTTTCTTTCTTTCTGACAAAGTCTTGCTCTGTTGCCCAGGTTGGAGTGCAGTGGCGTGATCACAGCTCACTACAGCCTTAAACTCCTGGGCTCAAGTGACCCTCCAACCTCAGCCTCCTGAGTAGCTGGGACTACAGGTGTGTGCTACCAGGCTCAGCTAATTTCTTTTTATTTTTTGCCGAGACACAGTTTCACTATGTTGCCCAGGCTCATCTCGAACTCCAGGTCTCAAGTGATCCTCCCTCCTCGGCCTCCCAAAGTGCTGCGATTACAAGTGTAAGCCACCATGCTCAGCTCACCTCCACTGGTTTCTTAAAGAAAGCATCTCTCTGCATATATCCTGTACATGAGCTCCTTCAGATATGAATATTTAAAAGAAGGCAGATGATTAATAAATACGTGCTGAAGGGACTACCTCTAGAATATCACAGGTAGTTGCTAAACAGGAAACATTCACAGGTGTTGGCCATGTGCTCCGCCACCCAGGCACCCTAGTGAGGACCAGCTGCTGCACCTGCACATCCTGCTCCAGCTTGATCTTGATCGTGTTGTATTCTTCACAATCCCAGATCCTCTGCCTGTTCAGCTGCTTCTCATAGTCCTCCACTTTTTTCATGCGGTTGGTAAGATATTCCAGCTAAAGGCACAGGAAGACAAGAGAAAAGTCAGGGACCATCCTTGCCCCACCTCAATCCTTTGGATGGCCTGACCAGCATGACACAGGGGAAACTTTGGAAGTTTCATGGCTCCACGGGGAGTCTGGTGGCTTTCCGAAGTCCTGAATACCCAAGGCTTTTAGGACTTGGCTCATATTGCCTAATGGAGTCATTACTCCAGAAACTCTAAGAGGAATGCTCCATTATGAAATTAAGCTCATCTCCTTGAAGTCTAAATATTTGAAAAAAAGACAAGAAATTATGCACAGACCCTGAAATCAGATGTTTATATTTCTGAAAAGTCTATTGGATCTTGGTTGAGTCACTTCTTTGTTCTTTACAACTCTGAAATAAAGTGATAATAAACACCCCTTAAAAATGTGTCTTAAAACACCTTGGGCCACGAATACTCACAGTTGGGTGAGATACCCAGTAAACAAAGGGGAAAGTGACGGGACCATGGAAAACACAGCAAGCTGCCCAGGTGGTACTCACCACCACCAAAGAGACAATCCCCATCTGCAAGGCCACACTGATTAGCTAGGAGGTGCAGTAATGAACGCAGTAGTATTTAGCCACAGCAATTCTACTCAAGACACAAAAAGGTGGCCAGGCGTGGAGGCTCACGCCTATAATCCCAACACTTTGGGAGGCCAAGGCGAGTGGATCACGAGGTCAGGAGATTGAGACCATCCTGGTCAACATGGTAAAACTCATCTCTACTAAAAATACAAAAATTAGCATGGTGGCATACGCCTGTAATCCCAGCTACTTGGGAGGCTAAGGCAGGAGAATCACTTGAACCAGGGAATCAGAGGTTGCGGTGAGCCAAGATCGCGCCACAGCATTCCAGCCTGGCGACAGAAGCGACACTCCATCTCAAAGAAAAAAAAAAAAAAAGGCCAGGCACAGTGGCTCAAGCCTGTAATCGCAGCACTTTGGGAGGCCGAGACGAGTGGATCACGAGGTCAGGAGATCGAGACCATCCTGTCTAACACGGTGAAACCCCGTCTCTACTAAAAAATACAAAAAACTAGCTGGGCAAGGTGGTGGGCACCTGTAGTCCCAGCTACTCGGGAGGCTGGGGCAGGAGAATGGCATAAACCCAGGAGGCGGAGCTTGCAGTGAGCTGAGATCAGGTCACTGCACTCCAGCCTGGGTGACAGAGCAAGACTCTATCTCAAAAAAAAAAAAAAAAAAAAAATACAGAAAGGCTAGCGAATTCAGTCACAATAGAAACCACCCAGATCCCACAGATCACCCTTGACAGCCTCCACCCTTTACCTCTTTGGCATTATGAGCCTGAAGGGCCCGCTCCCATTTCTTCTTATTACTGGCCAGTAGCTCTTGGCGTTCCACCTCAAATGCTTTCTATGACCAAGAAGGAAAAAGACTCTTGCATCTGTTTTGATTGGGCAGGTCCTACCAGTGTCAAAGAACTTTTAGGTAACTGTATGAATGCTGTACCAACAACCACATAGTAAAAGTAAATTTCAAATGCAGACTTGCCAAGTTTCATGAGACCAAATGGCTATGGAAGGAGCCGCATGGAAATTAGCTGTTATGAAGACAATATCCGAATGCAGACAGGAGATGTTTCAACAGTCCCGTGGCTTGGGAGGGAACTGGAGGAAGGCCAGTGCCCCTGTTGTCAGTCACACGGCAGGCCCTGGTGTGTAATTCAACTGACTACTGTTGACGCGTTGCCATGGTTGGGGTTCCCATGAAGCAAAGGCAGCATGAAGCTCCCAAGGGGTAGGTTTGGGAATGCAGAAATAAGTCTCCAACAACCCAGAGAGAGAGAGGCCTCCAACCTCTTGGCTCTCTTCCATCTTGGAAAGGGCTAAATCTCAATCTCAATCTTGAACATTTCATTCAAATTCAAAATACTGATTCCTGAATCCTATGCAGCACTCCCCTTTGCCACTGTCTGCCCCAATTGCCATAAAGAAACAAAGAAATGCCTCGTATAGGGTTTATGCTTATGGAGTGCTAATCCCCCTTTTTTATTCCCCAACCCCTTGCTCATCTTATTTTCTTTCAAAACACTTATGACCACCTGTGAAATAATATATTTAGTAACTTGTTTATTGTCTAGCTGCCTCCTACTAGAATACAGGCTCTACCAGGGACTTTGTTTTGTTCACAGCTGCATCCCTAGCCCCCTGGAACAGTGCCCAGCATATAGTAGACACTTGATATGTATTTGTCAAATGAATGAATGAGAAAATAAATTAATAAAACCTGAGAGCAGAAACAGAAATCAGAGGAAGACAGAGAAGTCATCTAGGGCCCTCCTTAGATCATGAGGACAGACCTAGACCTCCTCCCAGGGGCCCCCCAAGAGCAGAAACCAGGTCCTTTCACACCGTTACCTCGATGTTATAGAGCTCCTCACGAAAGGTTTTCATCACGTTCTTCACCTGTTCTTCCATCCGCTCCAGAAGCAGGCAGATGTCATCTGACTGTTTCTTCAAATCCTTCACATACTGGTCATCCTTTGTTTTTAACTCCTAGAAAAAAGCATGGAAAAGGCTGGCCACAAACTGTCAGGAGCAGGAGGTGCCAAGCACTATCTCTAGACCCCTCTCACCAGAATCTGTCAACGCTAGGACATGAAACTGTACAAAGAGGGCTGGGCACAGTGGCTCACACCTATAATCTCAGCACTTTGGGAGGCTGAGGCAGGTGTTTCGGCTCAGGAGACCAGCCTGGGTAGTATAGCAAAACTCTGTCTCTATAAAAAAATACAAAATTAGCCAGATGTGGTGATGCACGCCTGTGGTCCCAGCTACTCGGGAGGCTGAGGTGGGAGGATCTCTTGAGCCCAGAAGGTGGAGGCTACAGTGAGCCATGATTGCACCACTGCACTCCAGCCTGGGAGATGGAGTAAGACCCTGTCTCAATAATAATAATAATAATGATAATAATAATAATAAACTGTACAAAGAGAAAGTGGCTTCAGAAGCGTCTTAGAAGGCCTGAGATAAAGCACAGTAGATGGAGTGGAATGGGCTGTGCCCAACGCAAAGCTCTTAACAAGCACCCAGGACCAAACCCCTCAATGTTATCACCTGCTGCAAATCTCCCTGCAAGCTCCCAGAAAACCTAGATTGTCCCAGCTGAGCAATTAATGTCCAGGTTCCAACACAGGAAAGTATCTACTGCAGACTAAGTTGCATTCTTCAACTAAGGACTAAACTCTGGAACAGCATTTGCTGTAAAAATACTACAGTCATGCGCCACGTAACAACATTTCAGTCAATGATGGACCACATATATGACAGTGGTCCCATAGGATTATAATATGGTATTTCTACTGTGCCTTTTCTGTTTAGATGCACAAATACTTAGCACTGCATTACAGTTGTTTACAGTATTCAGTACGGTAACATTCTAGACAGGTTTGTAGCCTGGGAGCAATAAGTTATATCATATACCCTAGGTGTGTAGTAGGTTATACCATCTAGGTTTGTGTAAGCACGTTATGATGTTCTCACAACAATGAAATCACCTAACAATGCATTTCTCAGAATATATCCCCATCATTAAGTGACACATGACTATATTTCTATTAGATAGCTAATAATTCTACAATTATGACAAAGCTTTTACTTCTAATTAAAAGTTTATCACTTGAAAAGACATCAAAGTTGGAAGTTAAAATTATCTCTGTTCACAGATGACATGATCTTATATGCAGAAAAACTAAAGATTTCACACACACGAAAACCTGTTAGAACTTAAACAAATTCAGCAAAGTTGCAGGACATAAAATCAAAATTCACACTATTCGCAATAGCCAAGAATTGGAATCAACCTAAGTGTCCATCAGCAGATGAATAGATAAAGCAAATGTGGTACACAGACACAATGGAGTACTATTCAGCCATAAAAGAGAATGAGATCCTGTCATTTACAAAAACGTGGATGGAATTGAAAGGCATTGTGTTAAATGAAATAAGCCATGCACAAAAATTCAAACTTTGCATGTTCTCACTTGTTTGTGGGAGCTAAAAATTAAAACAATTGAACTCGTGGAGATAGAAAGTAGAATGACAGTTACCAGAGACTGAGAAGTGTAGTGTGGGGGGTCGGGGAGGAATGGGGATGGTTAATAGGCACAAAAATATAGTTAGAATGAATAAGATCTACTATTTGACAGCACAACAGGGTGACTAAGAACAGCTAGATTTATTGTTCCTTTTAAAATAACTAAAAGAGTATAACTGGAATGTTTGTAACACAAAGAAATGATACATGCTTGAAGTGCTGGATACCCCATTTACCCCAATGTGATTATCACACATTGTATGGCTGTATCAAAATATCTTATGTACCCCATAAATATATACACCTACCCATAAAGTTTTTTAATTTTAAATTTAAAAAAAAGGTCAGATGTGGTGGCTCACACCTGTAATCCCAACACTTTGGAAGGTGGAGGTGGGTGGGTAATTTGAGGTCAGGAGTTTGAGACCAACCTTGGCAACATGGTGAAACCCCATCTCTACTAAAAGCACAAATCCCAGCTACTTGGGAGGCTGAGGCAGGAGGATCATGTGAGCCCAGGAGGTGGAGGTTGTAGTGAGCCAAGATCAGTCTACTGCACTCCAGCCTGGGCAACAGAGCGAGACTCTGTCTCAAAAAAATTAAATTAAAAGTTTAAAAAATTTTTAATCAGTTGCATTCTTATATGCAAATAATGACCAATCCAAAATGGAAATTAAGAAAATAATCTATTTACCATAGCACCAAAAAGAATGAAATACTTATGAATAAACTTAACCAAGTAGGCCTTGTACACTGAAAACTGTAAAACATTACTAAAAGAAATCAAAGAAGACATAAACAAATGGAAGATATCCTGTGCTTATGAATTGGATGACTCAATACTGTTAAAATGTCCACACTATACAAAATAATCTACAGATTCAATGCAATCCTTATCAAAATCCCAACATTATTTTTTGTGGAAATAGGAAAACCATCCTAAAATTCGTAAAATTCAGAATCTCAAGGGACTCCAAATAGCCAAAATAATCTTGAAAAAGAACAAAGTCAGAGGCCCCACATTCCCTGATTTCAAAATATACTACAGACTGGGTGCAGTGGCTCATATCTGTAATCCCAGCACTTTGGGAGGCTGAGGTAGGTGGGTCACCTAGGTCAGGAGTTCGAGACTAGCCTGACCAACATTGTGAAACTCCGTCTCTACTAAAAATGCAAAAATTAGCCAGGCATGGTGGCACACGCCTGTAGTCTCAGCTACTCGGGAGGCTGAGGCAGAAGAATTGCTTGAACCCTAGAGACAGAGGTTGCAGTGAGCCGAGATCACACCACTGCACTCCAGCATGAGCGACAGCACTCTGTCTCAAAAAAAACTACAAAGAGCAACAGTAATTAAAAGAGTGTGGTACTGACATAAAAAATAGATATATAGACCAAGGGAACTAGAGAGTCCAGAAATAAACCCCTACATATATGACCAAATGGCTTTTGACAAGGGTCAAAATGGTAAATGAATGATATACAAACCCCCGCATCTATGGTCAAATGACTTTTGACAAGACTATACAGTGGTGAGAGGATAGTCTCTTCAACAAATGATATTGAGAAAACTGGATATTCACAGGCAAAAGAATGAAGTTGGGCCCTTACCTTATACCATATACAAAAATAACTCAACATTGATTAAAGACCTAAAACTATTAAACTCCTGGAAGAAAATGTAGGAGACAACCTTCTACACATTGGATTTGGCAATAATTTCTTGGATATAACACCAAAAGCCCAGGCAACAAAATCAAAAATAGACAAATGGGGCTGCACCAAACTCAGAAATGTTTGCACATCAAAAAAAAAAAAAAATCAAGAATAAGAAGGCAATATATGGAATAGGAAATCATAATTGAAAATCATATATCTGATAAGGGGTTAATGTCCGAAATACATAAGGAACTTCTCTAACTCAAAAACAACCCAAATTAAAAATAAGCAAAGGATTTAAATAGACATTTCTCCAAAGATGATATACGAATGGCCAAGAAACACAGGAAAAAGATGCGCAACATCTCTAATCATTAGGGAAATTAAATCCAAACCACAAGGAGATATCACCTCACACTATCAACACGGAAACTATCACAAAAAACAGGATGTAAGTGTTGGTGAGAATACAGAGAAGTTAGAACCCTTGTGTACTGTTAGTGGGAATGTAAAATGGTGCAGTCATTATAAAAAACAGTATGGAGGTTCCTAAGAAAATTAAAAATAGAATTACCATATGACCATGTTACCATATTACCATAATTACCATATTACCAAAAGTACTATCCTACTTTTAAGTGTACATCCAAATAATTCAAAGAAGGATCTCAAAGAGATACGTGTATACCCATGTTCACAGCAGTATTACTCACGATAGCCAAAAGGTGAAATCCAACCCAAATGTCCATTCACAGGAGAATGTATAAAACAAGATGTGGTATACATATGCAATGAAATACTATGCAGCCTTAAAAAAGTTGGCAGTCCTGTCACGTGCTACAATGAAGTCCATCACACTAAGCCAAATATGCTAGTCACAAAAGGACAAATGCTGTATGATTTCACTCACAGGAAGTATCTAATAGAGTGGTCAAAAATCACAGAAACGGAAAGTAGAAAGGTGATTACCAAGGGCTAGGGGGAAGGGGAAGAGGGAATTGGTATCTAAGGGGCATGTTGCAAGATGAAAAGTTCTTAGAGATCTGCTGCATCTGAATACTGTATACTTAACATGACTGAACTATAGTTTTTTGTTTTGAGACGGAGTCTCACTCGCTTTGTCAACCAGGCTGGAGTGCAGTGGCGTGATCTCAGCTCACTGCAACCTTTGTCTCCCATGTTCAGGTGACCCTTCTGCCTCAGCCTCCCGAGTAGCTGAGATTACAGGTGTGTGCCACCATGCCCGGCTAATTTTTATACTTTTAGTAGAGATGGGGTTTCACCATGTTGGCCAGGCTGGTCTCAAACTCCTGATCTCAAGTGATCTGCCTGCCTCGGCCTCACAAAGTGCTGGGATTATAGGCAGGAACCACTGCACCCAGCCCATGAACTATACACTTTAAAATGGTTATGATGGCAAATTTAATGTTATGTGTTTCTTACCATCATAAAAAAAAAAAAAAAAAAAAAAAGAAAAGAAAAAGTTTATAACATGAGTTGTACAGGATTCTAAATAATGAAGTAAAAGGTTTCTATATTTTTCCATTCAGGAAAAGCAAACTAATAACCCAGCTAAATCCCAGGCAGATCCCCAGTGGCTGGGCTGGAGGGCCCGCGCCTCTTGCCTGCTGTAACTCGCTGATGAGCTTGTTCTTATCTTCTAAGAGGCCAGCACAGTGCAGCTGTTGGGTATTGAGCATTTCCCACAGCTCTTGGGGAATTCTCTTCTGCTTGCCCTCTTCCCACTTTGAGGTGATTTCGTCAAATTTGTCCTGGCTGGTCTTAACTTCATTCTCCAGCTTCTCAATCCTGCAAATACAAACATGCCAGCCATGCCAGCCCAGCTCCAGATGCTGCCTTCCAATAGAGCAGGTGTGTTCTCTAGAATCTCTAGAATATAAAACTCAGGTACCGGGCACTGCCCAAACACACCCACCCAAAATCAAACTCAATGCTGAGAAATCTTTTTGTTTAATGCTTGACTACAAGTAACTTAAGCTAAGTAAAGAAAATGACACATAGCAAAAACAGATCAACATTAAGGCTACACATACACACATACACACGCACACACACACACCAAGATCAATTGGTCACCGGCTTCTGAGTAAGATGATAACACACAACAGTTAAACACAACTGGGTCTCTGGAGTCACGAGCTTATGTTCAAGTCCTGACTTGGGTCCTAACTGACCGTCAACCTTGTAGACAAGCTGCATAACCTCTTCAAGCCTCACTTTTTCTCTTCTGTAAAATGGAGTGGATGAAAAGTATCTACCTTCACGTGACTGGCTGTTGTCAGGATGAAATACAATGATGCACACAGCACAGGTGCTCAGCGTGGGAGTCACTTAACACATGGTACTTAAATTATCAATTTTTTATTAGCAACATGACCTCAATTGTCTGGCTACTCCTCTCCCAAGTTACCAATAAATGACTAGTGGAATGTACAAACACGGAAACTCCACCACGAGGAATGGAAAATAGGGAGAGCCTTTCCATAAATTCCAAAAAATCTCTGTGACAGAGCACACCAAGGCTGGGGCGAGGTGGCAGGAAGGCAGGACAGCTGAGCTGGGGCCCTTCTGGAAACAGTGGCTAGGATATCTCCCAGAGACTCTCTGCTCCTTGTAACAGACTAATCCTATGACAGCATCTCCAAACAAACTACCTGAGGAACCGAAGTCACAGCTTAAACATCCTGCAATCCTCTCTCCCTGTCCCATCCCACACCCACCCCACCTTCCAAGCTAGGATACTTTTTAAATTTAATTGACTTTTTTATTTCAAGAAATGAGAAAGAGCTGTCAGGTCACCTTTCCACAGCACACTGACCTTGTAACCTGCCACCTGAGACCTTCAGTGTTCCTCTGTGGCTAGAGGATGCGGCCTAACTCCTTACATGACCTTCCCCGCCTTTCACAAGCCAACCCTGCTGGGAATCTGCCAACTCTATTCCTGGTACAGCCCATACAGGCAGTGGGAAGTTTCGAGAATAAAAGTCAACCACCTTTACTGGTAGAGCTGCTAACGTTGCTAACGAGGGAACTACTTATGCTGAACAACTAAAAATATTGTTAAAATCGTCCCCTGTATGTATATGATGAGCCAAAATGGTCAAGTGGTTGCTTTCTTTCTTTTTAAAGACAGGGTTTCACTCCCATTGCCTAGGCTGGAGTCCAGTGGCACACTCTTGGCTCACTACAACATCCGCCTCCTGGGTTCAAGTGAGGCTCCTGCCTCAGCCTCCTGAGTACTGGGACTACAGGTGTGCACGCGCCACCAAACGCAGCTGATTTTTTGTATTTTTAGTAGAGATGGAGGTTCACCATGTTGGCCAAGCTGGTCTCGAACTCCTGACCTCAAGCGATCTGCCCGCCTCGGCCTCCCAAAGTGCTGCGATTACATGCGTGGGCCACCCCATGCCTGGCCAAGTGGTTGCTCTTCTAATTGTTTAATAAATTAATTGAAGAACAATCCAAAGTTTAAATGAGGACCTGCAATCAGTCTACTTCTGTGTGCAAACCAAAGTTTAATTCTTCTAAGCCGCTATGCCTCCCTGCTGGACAGCCTGAGACCTGGCATATGGTCATGCAGGTCAGTCTGCCTCCTGAGGACTGGAGCTGAGGACCTGACACAGGTTCCTATTATCCCTGTGACCCTCCATCCTTCTAGACATGGAGCCCTTCATATTCTTTAATAATGCTGCCACCTTTACACATAACACTGAGGTGCTCCTGGGTCTGGTCGTTCTCACCAGTTGAAACTCAGGACTGCCCAGTTGACCTTCTTAGCCTCTTTTCTTCTACCACCCGCACACATCCTTCACTATCATGCCATTTCCAAGCATATCATGGGATCTCACACCTCTACTCAAAGGTTCCCTCTGCCTAAAATGCCTACTCTTCAACTCCTCAAACTCCTATTCATCCCTCACACTCCAACTCAGTGTCACCTTGCCTGGGAAGTTTTCTCTAATCTCTGCAGATAGAATTAAAGGCCTCCTTGTGTGTGTTACTACAACCCTTTACACATTATCTATTTTACCACAAATTGTGGGTGTTTCCATGTGTCTCTTGACTAGACTGTGAATACCACAAACAGAGGCCATGTTTCACTCCTTTTGTATACACACAGCTTGGCACGTATCAGCAGTGTAGTGCTTGAGGAAGGGAGGAAAGAAAAGAGAGAAGAGATAGCTGGGTGTGGTCGCTCATGCCTGTAATTCCAACACTGTGGGAGGCCAAGGCAGGTGGATCACCTGAGGTCAGTAGTTCGAGACCAGCCTGGCCAACATGGTGAAACCTGTCTCTACTAAAAATACAAAATTAGCCTGGCATGGTGGTGCATGTCTGTAATCCCAGCTACTCAGGAGGCTGAGGCAGGAGAATCGCTTGAACCCAGAAGGTGGAGGTTGCGGTGAGCTGAGATCACGCCCACTGCACTCCAGCCTGGGTAACAAGAGCACCTCCGTCTCAAAAATGAAAAAAAAAAAAAAAAAGAGAGAGAGAGAGAGAAGAGGAGGGAGGGAGGGAGAACTTATAAGGGCAGGAAGGGAATTGCCTAAGGTGGACAAGGTCACCCTCCAACGACTCGGGAGAACTGCGGGCCCATGGAGGAGATTACCTTCACGTCCACCAGGTACAGAGTGGTGTGGTCCTTACCTCTGACGCTTTATCTCCTCTTCTTCGACTCTCCTGTGAATCTCTCTGATATCTATAGCCACCTGGATATTTGTCACCAACTCAGTGCCACAGAGCAGAAGTTTAGCCAATTTCTGAAAAGAGAGAGAGAAAGAACTGACAAAGCTAGAACACTTTGTAAATAATGTGTAAAGTCAGAAACATTTTTGCACAACTGTCCGTAGCTCTTCCATCCATTCAAGCAGGAAGCAGCAACTACCTTAAGACTTTTAAGAGTAGCCCCTGTATAGCAACCCTTTTCTATCAGGACATTTGTGATGTGGTTTTACAGCTCACAATTTAAAAGCACTCTGCAGTTCTTGACCAGGCACAGTGGCTCATGTCTGTAATCCCAGCACTTTGGGAGGCCAAGGTGGGTGGATCATTTGAGGTCAGGAGTTCGAGACCAGCTTGGCCAACATGGTGAAACCCCATCTCTACTAAAAATTCAAAAATTAGCCGGGCGTGGTGGCGGGTGCCTGTAATCCCAGCTACTCAGGAGGCTGAGGCAGGAGAATCATTTGAACCTGGGAGGCAGAGGTTACAGTGAGCCGAGGTCATGCCGCTACACTCCAGCCTGAGTGACAAAGTGAGACCCTATCTCAGAAAAAAAAAAAAAAAAAAGAGAGAGAAAAGGAAAAAGAAAAAGAGAAAGAGAAAGAAAAGTCCGGTATCCAGTCATAATAGGATGAGGCCTGGGGAAAAGTCACTGTGTTTGGCTAGAAGGGTATCATTAGTATCCTACTGTGGTAAGTTTTTGTCCATTCCTGGGCAAAATAAAAAATTTTTAAAAAGCACTCTGCAGGCCGGGCGCGGTGGCTCAAGCCTGTAATCCCAGCACTTTGGGAGGCCGAGGCGGGTGGATCACGAGGTCAGGAGATCGAGACCATCCTGGCTAACATGGTGAAACCCCGTCTCTACTAAAAACACACAAAAAAAAACTAGCCGGGCGTGGTGGCGGGCGCCTGTAGTCCCAGCTACTCGGAGGCTGAGGCAGGAGAATGGCGGGAACCTGGGAGGCGGAGCTTGCAGTGAGCCGAGATCGCGCCACTGCACTCTAGCCTGGGTGACACAGCGCGAGACTCCGTCTCAAAAAAAAAAAAAAAAAAAAAGCACTCTGCAGTTCTCAATGTACTTTATGTATTCACTGTAGAGTAGGCACCAGCCAACTTTTACACCAGCAGGTATTATACATTCATCTCAGCCCTTTCCCCAGCAGATCTCCAAGTGACTGACACTGCCAGGAGCCTTTTGAAGCACCTCAGTTGGGGAGGTGAGGCAGATAATGACAGTGAGGCAGATAACAATGGTTGTCCTCCCATGTCCATTTCTCCCTCTCCTTTTAGTAACAGAACACTCAAATTTTTGCTAGGCACATGGCTTCCCAAAATAGGTAACTTTCCCGGCCTCCCTTGCACCTAGAATACTATCTGATCAATGACACATGAGAAGTGATGTGTGCCACTTCTGAACTGTGCCTTTAAGGGAAAAGGTGTACCCTCTGCTGCCCCACTTCTGTCCCTTCTCCCAGGCTGGCATGTGGGGCTCAAGTAAAAGGTGAGGAGCAGATGAAGGCAACTCAAGCAATGGCAGAGGGAGCTGAGGTCCCATCATCAAGCAGACCCCATCCATGTCAGCCCTGGACTGCTTATACTCGGAACTGTTGAGACAGAGAAAAGAGCTTCTGCCTTGCTGCAGCTAATGATATGTGGAGTCTATCATTACACGGATTCTAATGCAGGAAAAGATTGTAGCTGGCTGCACTGCTCTCTCCTTAATGGGCTCAGGGATTTTGTAATTGGTGCCATCCTTCTAAATCCCTCTTCGTAAATTCCATCTCCAGTATCTTCACTCCTAGCCTTGTCGTGATGTTATTCAAGATGATAAATCCTCTCAACAAAAAGTTCTAGTATCCTTAGGTTATGCCTAAGTTTTTCCAAGTATTTTTGGAACTTATAAACTTTCCAACTCTCAAATAATTTTTAAACTAGGAGCCTATAAAATTTCTATACCAAGGAGTCACAGAAATTACCAGAGACTTCACTTGATTTCACTATATGAAAAATTTGAAATGTAGTTTCATTGAATACAGAACAGAGCTTTAACCCAGATATCCAGGGCACTCTAGATTTTTTGTTATTGCCTGCAGTTTTATCACTTATACCAAATGGTTTTACATGCATAAGGAAGTAATGACTTTCCTGCAGTTTGGGGTAATTTTCTAGTTTCTACTCAATGTGAACATCAGACACTTCTGCATAAGTACCATGTGCTAACCAATCACTGGAGTTCCAGAAATTTCTGAATCAAGTATTTAAGACTCAAAGTAAAATTAAAAATCCAAATGTCACAGTCACTAACAGACCAACAGACATGCCCCTCACCTTTATGAGATCCAGGGAAAGAGTTTAAATGGAGGTCCACATACCATATGTCTAAATATTTTTAAATTATAGTATCATGTAAAAATTGTTAAATAAAACATTTGGCCGGGCATGGTGGCTCACACCTGTAATCCCAGCACTTTGGGAGGCCGACACGGCAGATCACTTGAGGCCAGGAGTTCAAGACCAGCCTGAACAACATAGTAAAACCCCGTCTCTACTAAAAACACAAAAATTAGCCAGGCATGGTGGTGCACGCCTGTAGTCCCAGCTACTCGGGAGGCTGAGGCAGGAGAATGGAGTGAATCCAGGAGGCGGAGGTTGCAGTGAGCCGAGATCGTACCACTGTACTCCAGCCTGGGCGACAGAGCAAGACTCCATCTCAAAATACATATATCCTCCTATCTCAATACCTTTATAACAATTTAAAAGTCCTAGTTTGAATTCAGACACATTTCGGAGTTCTACTCATAATTGGGTGGCTAAGGAAGAGCCTGCCTCTGTCCGCAGCTCCCAGCCCACCCCCAGCTCTGTCCTGCAGGCATGTGGATTCCCCAACTGCACATTCAAGCTCCATCTACACCCTGTGACCATCCATCAGGCCCAGGGGTTGTGTAACAGTGGCCTCATCTGCCCTGAGCAGGACAGACTCTGCAAGAGGCACATACAGGTTGAAGGTGGGCTCAAAGTCATTTGGATGGGGAATTTTGGCTCCCATGGGACTCAGTGATCTAGAGGGGACAATGGGGGTTTGAAGGGACATGGGGCAAGTCTACTTGAGGGGGTGCATCCACAGGAAATCCAGAGCAGAACCTGGACTCCCATCGTCACCACTTCTATTTAATGAGCTGGAGCATCCAACTAATGCAATAAGGGAAGAAAAAAAAAATGAAAGATATAAAAATCAGACAAAGAAATAAAACTTATTATTTTCAGATGATATGATTATATATGTAAAAAAAAATCCAAAAGAAGCCACAGGTAACTATTAGAATTAACAAATGAATTTGGCAAGGTCACCGGATACCAGGTCAATATATTAAAATCAACTGTACATTTATCCACCACCATGAACCACTATAACCCGAACAAAAAGTGCAAAACATCGCTGAGCCAAATTAAAGAATACCTCCCTGGCCGGGCGCGGTGGCTCAAGCCTGTAATCCCAGCACTTTGGGAGGCCGAGACGGGCGGATCACAAGGTCAGGAGATCGAGACCATCCTGGGTAACACGGTGAAACCCCGTCTCTACTAAAATACAAAAAACTAGCCGGGCGAGGTGGCGGGCGCTGTAGTCCAGCTACTCGGGAGGCTGAGGCAGGAGAATGGCGTAAACCCGGGAGGCGGAGCTTGCAGTGAGCTGAGATCCGGCCACTGCACTCCAGCCTGGGCGACAGAGCGAGACTCCGTCTCAAAAAAAAAAAAAAAAAAAAGAATACCTCCCATGGATTATAAATTCTACTCAGTCAGTTGAAATTCCAGCAGGTTTTTTGGCAGAAATTTTTTTTTTTTTTTGAGACGGAGTCTCGCTCTGTCACCCAGGCTGGACTGCAGTGGTGCAATCTTGGCTCACTGCAACCTCTACCTCCTGGGTTCACGCGATTCTCCTGCCTCAGCCTCCCGAGTAGCTGGGACTACAGTGCCTGCCACCACGCCAGGCTAATTTTTTGTATTTTTAGTAGATACAGGGTTTCACCATGTTAGCCAGGATGGTCTCGATCTCCTGACCTGGTGATCTGCCCACCTCAGCCTCCCAAAGTGCTGGGATTACAGGCATGAACCACCGCGCCCAGCGACGAGCTGATTCTAAAATGTATATGGAAATACAAAGGGTCAAGAATAGCCAAGACAAGGCTGGGCGCAGTGGCTCATGCCTCTAATCCCAGCACTTTGGGAAGCTGAGGCAGGAGGATTACCTGAGACCAAGAGTTCAAGACCAGCCTGGCCAACATGGTGAAACCCCGTTTCCGGTAAGAATACAAACATTAGCTGGATATGGTGGCACACGCATGTAATCCCAGCTACTCAGAAGGCTGAGGCATCAGAATGACTTGAACCTGGGAGGTGGCGGTTGCAGTGAGCCAAGATTGTGCCACTGCACTCCAGCCTGGATGACAGAACGAGACTGTCTCACAAGAAAAAAAAAAAAAGAATAGCTAAGACAATCTGGAAGAACACAGAGAACTCACCCTACCAGATACCAAGAACTGTCATAAAAGCTACAGTAATTAAAACTGTGTGGAATTGGCACAAAGCCAGTGGTATAGTTTGGATATGTGTCCCTGCCCAAATCTCATGTCGAATTTTAATCCCCAGAGTTGGAGGTGGAGCCTGGTGGGAAACGAGTGGATCATGGGGGTGGATTCCTCATAGTTCGGCACCATCCTCTTGGTGTTCTTCTCATGATAGTGAGTGAGTTCTCGTGAGATCTGGCCATTGTAAAGTGTGTGACACCTCCCTGCGTTCTCTCTCTCACTCCTGCTCCTGCCATGTGAGATGCCTGCTTCCCCTTTGCCTTCTGCCATGATTGGAAGCTTCCTGAGGCCCACCCAGAAGCGGAAGTCACTGTGCTTCTTGTACAGCCTGCAGAACCATGAGCCAATTAAACCTCCTTATAAATTATCCAGTCTCAAGTATTTCTTTATAGCAATGTGAGAATGAACTAATACAGACAGACATATAGATACCAAAAAAGAGAACAGAGAATGTGGAAACAAACTCACACATACATGGTCACCTGATTTGCAACAAAGGTGCACAGCAATGCAGTGGGGAAAGGACAATCTTTTCAGTAAATGGTGCTGGGGCAACTAAAAATCTACATAGAAAACAATGAACCTGGTACCCTACCCTTACATGATAGACAGAAATCAATTCCAGATACGCCATAGGCCAAAATGTAAATGATAGAATGATAAAACTTTCTAGAAGAAACCATAGAAGACTGTCTTCATATGAAGTAGACAAAGATTAAACAGGACACAAAAATAATGACCACTAAAAACATGATAAGGCCGGGCGCAGTGGCTCACATCTGTAATCCCAGCACTTTGGGAGGCTGAGGCAGGCGGATCACTTGGTGAAGAGATCAAGACCATCCTGGCCAACATGGTGAAACCCCCGTCTCTACTAAAAATACAAAAATTAGATGGGCGTGGTGGCGGGCGCCTGTAGTCCCAGCTACTCAGGAGGCTGAGGCAGGAGAATAGCTTGAACCGGGAGGCAGAGGTTGCAGTGAGCCGAGATCGTGCCACTGCACTTCAGCCTGGTGACAGAGCAAGACTTCGTCTCAAAAAAAAAAGATAAACTGCAGGGTCAAGGGTGGGGCCCAGCCTGCCCAGACCTTAGGTCAGAACTAATAATCAATACTTTAATCTTGAGATCTTGAGGAAGGGGGCATCTTTTGTGTACATTTCTCCTTGATGCCAAGATTCTTCACTACTTAAGTCCTAAGTGAAAGGAACCTTCAAAACCTGCTAATGAAAACAGTATTATCTCTTTGGATTTATACTTAATTAAGGAGTGCTCAGGGTGAACTATATATCAGTATTTTAAAAAATCTAATATCCTTTTGTCCTACACAGAAATGCTCAGAGGTCACTGACTTTTTTTTTTTTTTTTTTTTTGAAAGAGAGAGAGTCTCCCTCTGTCGCCCAGGCTAGAGTGCAGTGACCTGATCTTGGATCACTGCAACCTCCACCTCACGGGTTCAAGGAATCCTCCCACCTCAGCCTCAGCCTTCTGAGTAGCCGGGACTCCAGGTGTGTGCCACCACGCCCAGCCAACTTCTGTATTTTTAGTAGAGACGAGGTTTCACCATGTTGGCCAGGCTGGTCTTGAACTCCTGACCTCAGGTGATCCGCCCGCCTTGGCCTTCCAAAGTCCCGGGATTATAGGCGTGAGCCACTGCGCCAGGTGGAGCTCACTGACTTTTAAATGAAGAAGAGAACAAAGTACAAAACAGTGACATGAATCACCTACTCTGCAGTAGATAAAAGATCAGGAACAAAAACCCACATCAGTTCAATATCTTTTCCACAGTAAAATATTTTATCCCTAACACAGTACGAGATATTCATTGATCTCTGTATACCTCTATGCTCTATCATCATATTCAGTAACCTGAATATTTTTTCTCACCAGAAATGATCTCTCCTCTGCTATTAAAATTTCCACCTGGATTTCTAAGACAACTCAAATCCCATTTTCTCCATTGAACTTTCCCTGACCAGGCCAGCTTGGTGAGTTCCTCTCCATATCTGAGTTCACACAGTGTCACCATTTTTGCCTTTCACTTAGCATTGATTAAATGTAGCATTTTGCCAGTTCTGGTCTGCTGTTTTGAGCTGCTGTTTATCCCTCAGCATCCCAGGAGCTGTTTCATCGCCATGGAGGGTAATCAATGATTTTCTTGTTTGTGTCTACACAAGCTACGTACAAGCTATGCACTACTCCATGGCTACAAAAAGAGGCTCTCATTCTCACAGTACATACAGTTTCACTGGGGCACTGCAGGCACACACATCTGAAAAGTCATATGCAGCAGAAAACTATCTAAAATGAAAAGAGTAGCACAGACAGGAAGTATTCAATGTGTGGAGAAAGGGAGCTCAGGCTGGGCTGAGGAAGAATCCAAGGAGGATTTGGGTCTTGAGAGGGTTGTTGAAAATGGGAAAGTGGCCTGATGAGAGCAGAGAATAAGAAGTGAATAGAGGGGGCCTGGCATTCCAGATGATCAAAGGCACAGAGCAGAAATGAACAAAACCCCACTGGAGGAGAGTGAGTGGATCCACCTCACCAAAGCGGAAGGCATAATTAGGTAACAAACGGGAGACGTGTTTGGAAAGTGAAGATGGGAACAGACTATCAAAGGCCTTGAGTGCCCAGGCTAAAACATCTGGACTTTATCCTATGAAGAGTGAATACCATTAAAAGTGCATGAGCTGAGAAGAGACAACGTAAATATAAGAAACTGTCATCTGAAAGCTCACTCCTAGAGAGCTCTCAAATGGGAAAGATTCTATTCAGTTCTGCCTAGAGATAGCAACATGGACCACATGATTTCTTCCAGTCTAAATGTGAAAACCATGATGTAACACCCAGCTCACTGGTCTTCCAGAGCCCATCTGTCAACCAGTTCATACCAATCGGCTTTCTTCTTTCTGTTTGTAGCTCTTGCTTTGATCCTCCTCACTCTCCTTCTTCCCATCTAAATATTCTCCAAGTGCTTCCCTGTGATGGAAAAAAGCAGAGAAAATTAAGTTATTTCTAGTACTTAAATTCTATATTTAAAGGTTTTGGCCTGGCACAGTGGCTCATGCCTGTAATCCCAACACTTTGGGAGACCAAGATAGGAGGATTGCTTAAGGCCAGGAGTTCAAGATCAGCATGGCCAACATAGCAAGACCCCCAACTCTATTTATGTAAACAATAATAATAATAATAACAATGGTTCCATTGTACTTTGTATATAAATATATATTCCATATGGAATAAAATTTAAATATTGGCCTGGCACAGTGGCTTATAACTATAATCCCAGCACTTTGGGAGGCCAAGGCAGGAGGACTGCTTTAAATCAAGAGTTTGAGACCTGCTTGGGCAACATAGAGAGATCCCATCTCTATCATTTAAAAAAAATTAAATATTAAAAAAAACTACAATCTTAAAAACACTAGAAGTAAATACAGGAGAATATCTATATAATCTTAGCATAGAAAACCCATCTTCGAATAAGACCAAAGTCAGAAAAAAAAATTAAAAGATTTTACTTTCTAAAATTTAGAAATTTTATCCTTGAAAGTCAAGGGATAAACTGATAAAAGATATTTGACAAAATTTTACTATCCATAAAATAGGAAGGGCTCCTTCAAATCAATACACAGAAGACAAAATACCAAAGAGAAAAACTGGCAGAGGATATGAACAGGCAATTTCCCAAAGAGATACAAATGGCAAACAGGCATTTGAAAATACGGTCAGCTTCACATACAATCAGAGAAACCAAAACCCTGTGAGGTGTCATTACCCTATTATCAGACTAAAAAAGATTTGAAGGGTTGACAATATCAGGTGGCAGCCCAGCTTTCCACATGCCATGGGTGGGAATGTAAAGTGTAACAACTTGTTTAAAAGGCAATTTGGCAAGATTTGTCAAAAGCTTAAATGTGCCTCCCCTCTGACCCAACAACCCCATCTTTAGGAATTTTTTACAGGAAGACTTTACAAGTACATACATAAATATGCACAAGAAAGATGACTGTAACCCTGACAATACTCGTAAGACCATGGAAACATTCTACATACATATTAATAGCTAACTAGTTAACAGGAAACAATATTTCAAAAATACTTTGTAGCCTACAAAAAGAATGATGTAATACCTAGCAGCAGGGAAAGATGTCCACAGCAGTTAAGTAAACGGAGCCAGTTTTAGAACAATATGTAGACTATAACACAAATTTTCTTTTTAAAATAGGCTTGGCCGGGCGCAGTGGCTCACGCCTGTAATTCCAGCACTTTGGGAGGCCGAGGCGGGCGGATCACAAGGTCAGGAGAGTGAGACCATCCTGGCTAACACGGTGAAACCCCATCTCTACTAAAAATACAAAAAAATTAGCCGGGCGTGGTGGTGGGCGCCTGTAGTCCCAGCTACTCGGGAGGCTGACGCAGGAGAATGACGTGACCCGGGAGGCGGAGCTTGCAGTGAGCTGAGCCGAGCCGAGATCTCGCCACTGCAGTCCAGCCTGGGGAACAGAGTGAGACTCTGTCTCAAAAGAAAAAAAAAAAAAAAAAAAAAAAAAAGGCTTATATGTGCACTGGACATTTTCTGGAAGTATATGTGACAAACTGATAACAGTAATTACTTAAGGAACAGGAATTAAATTACCAAGAAGTTCTATTTTCTACATTTTTGTACTGCATGAATTTTCTAAATAGTGCATGTGTGTGTGCTTATGTGTGTGTGTGTGAATCAGAAAATGAGACTAAAGGGGCGGTGGCGAGAGAAGGTTCCAGATTATGGACTTTTTCAGAGGAGGCATGGGGGAGTGACCTCACCAACCCCCACACCACATCATCAAGACCCTGCTCTCTCCTCTGGCACACAGTGGCCATAAGGGCTCTCAGTACTGCCTTAGGACAAATGAAACCTTAACATGACACAGCAGGTTTGTTTATTCGCTTTGTTTTGCTTCGTTTTTTGAGACGGATTTTCGCTCTTGTTGCCCAGGCTGGAGTGCAATGGCACGATCTCGGCTCACCGAAACCTCCGCCTCCCGGGTTCCAGCAATTCTCCTGCCTCAGCCTAGCAGATCTCTTTATCTCATTCTTTCTCGACTTTTTCTAACTCTGACTTCCGTTTCTACTCCCTTTGTTCAAAGTCCGGGACAATCCTACCTAGTGTGACACTATTTTGGAGATACAGAATTGAGTTACCGTCCTCCACTCCCAAACTAACCAAAACCCCTTGGTTTTTTCTTGTCATTTCATTGACTTCCCTATTCTTATCGAACATGTTCTTTGTTTTCTTACTAAGTAAACTAATTGTTCCATTTTACTCAGGTCTTCAGCTATTGCCAGGCTTATCATGTTCCCATCACCACTCAAAAAATTCCCTTGACTTTCTACTTTGACCACCAATTAATGACCAACTCTATTTAAATAATCTCTTCCAAGTGCTTTCTGGATCAAAGATCAGTGCTTCAGAAACAAACAAACAAAAACTATGCAGTCCAGATATTTATTATATATATATACACATACATACACACACACACACACACACACACACACATATATATATATATATATATATATATATTTTTTTTTTTCCCAACAGCCCGGCTCTGTCCCCAGGCTGCAGTGCAGTGGCGCCATCTCGGCTCACTGCAACCTCCGCCGCCCTCCGCCGCCCAGGTTCAAGCAATTCTTCTGACTCAGTCTCCTGAGTAGCTGGGACTACAAACATGCGCCCCCACGCCCGGCTAACTTTTGTATTTCTTTTTTCTTTTTTTTTTTTTTTAATTTTTTAATTTTTTTTATTATACTTTAAGTTCTAGGGTACATGTGCGTAACTTGCAGGTTTGTTACATATGTATACTTGTGCCATGTTGGTGTGCTGCACCCATCAACTCGTCAGCACCCATCAACTCGTCATTTACATCAAGTATAACTCCCAATGCAATCCCTCCCCCCTCTCCCCTCCCCATAATAGGCCCCGGTGTGTGATGTTCCCCTTCCCAAGTCCAGGTGATCTCATTGTTCAGTTCCCACCTATGAGTGAGAACATGCGGTGTTTGGTTTTCTGTTCTTGCGATAGTTTGCTGAGAATGATGGCTTCCAGCTGCATCCATGTCCCTACAAAGGACACAAACTCATCCTTTTTTATGGCTGCATAGTATTCCATGGTGTATATGTGCCACATAGACTTGGAATCAACCCAAATGTCCATCAGTGACAGACTGGATTAAGAAAACTTTTGTATTTCTAGTAAAGACGGGGTTTCACCATGTTGGCCAGGCTGTAGATATGCTATAAATTCTTATTAACTAGTTTTAACTTAAATCTCATCACTGCCTTTTATGCATCATTTTTTACTGCTTAGCACTGTACTGTCCAATATGTAGCCAATAACCACACATGGCTATAAAGCACCTGAAATGTGGCTGGTGCAAATTGAAATATGCTATGAGTGTAAAATACACTCTAGATGGATTTTGAAGACTTTAAACAAAAAATATTTGCAATATAGCTCATCAGTATGATTTATACTGATTGCATATTAAAATGATACTTTCATATATTGGATTAAATAAATTATTAATTTCACCTGTTCTGTTTTTACCACTTTCAATGCTACTACTAGAAAACTTGAAATGACATATGTGGCTGATATTGTATTTCTCTTGTTCAGCAGTGAACTAGTATATTCTCCAAAGAAACTGTCTCAGACTTTTGTCTCTTCAGATTTGAGCTCCCTCCCTCCTGGGGGCTGAGTCCTCTTTTGAGAAGCTGTTTCCTCGCCACCGCCCCATGTTTGTGGTCTAAATGGGAGCTGCCATCTTGAATACTCCACTTCCTGACCAAAGTCCTTTTTCAGGATTTAAAAACATTGAAACTTGGTTGTCTACCTGGGTTTAGAGTTCTAGGTTGGAAATAACTTTCCTTCACTGTTTCCTTCCAGTGTTCTATTTGAGAAACCTAAAGTCATTCTGTCTTTACACCTTTGTATGAGATCATATTTTTGTTTTTATATATGATCTTTTTTTTTTTCCCCCACTCTGGAAGCTCGTAGGCCCCTTCTCTTTGTTCTCAGTGTTCTGAACTTTCTCAATGGCGTGCCTTAGGGTGGGTCTATTTTCATCTACTGCGCGAGACATTTCAATCAGGAACCTCATGATCTTCAGGTCTGAGACATGTTCTTGAATTGTTTCCATGATAATACCCTCTCTGCTCCATTCTTTCTGGATCTAGAAAAGTGATAATATCTTCTAATTTAAAAAAATATATATTTTTCTGTGGCTGGGGGCAGTGGCTCATGCCTGTAATCCCAGCACTCTGGGAGGCTGAGGTGGGCGGATCACCTGAGGTAAGGAGTTCAAGACCAGCCTGGCCAACATGGTGAAACCCTGTCTCTACTAAAAATACAAAAATTAGCCAGGTGTGGTGGTGCACGCCTGTAATCCCAGCTACTTGGGAGGCTGAGGCAGGAGAATTGCTTGAACCCAGGAGGCCGAGGTTGCAGTGAGCCAAGATCATGCCATTGCACTCCAGTCTGGGCAACAAAAGTGAAACTCCATATCAATAATAATAATAATATTTTCTCTATAAGTTTCTACCTTTTTTCTTTGTGCTCTATTTTCTAGGGGATTTCATTATCTTTATTTTCCAACCCTTCTAATGTTTTCTATTTCTATAATTTTTTTTATTTCTAAGAGCTCTATTTTTTTTTCTCTGAACACTCCTTTTAGTATCAGTCTATTCTCATTTCATGGTTTCCGTATCATCTCTTTTTTCTTTGAGGATCTTTTTTTTCCCCTTTTTTTCCCCCCAAAGACTTCAAAACTATCTCTTAGGATCTGAATGATCTTTTTGTGGTATTACTGGTTTTTTCTACCCACATAGTCTTAATTTCCTCTTAGGTGCTTTTTACTCTTTGTTAATTTTCATATCTATCGTTCATGTTAAAGACTTTCCTCAGATGCATAGAAATCCTTGGTTACTGACTCATG